CGCCCTCCCCCATGCCTTGCCAGTCCGTTTTCGTGGGCAAATTTCTGCTTTTTTAGAGGTTTTGCGACCTAAAAACTCACATCAGAGGAAAAATACACCACAGACGACATTTTCATGGTAAATATCGATAAATGTCCGACCAGGCATTTTTCTGTCCCGTTGCCGATTTTGCTGATTTTCGCCATGTGCTTATAAATTTTTTTTGTTTACGTCGATAGCTACCTTTCCTCGTCCGGTTTTATGGGCAAATTTCCACTTTTTTAGACGTTTTGGGACTAAAAGACCGACAAAGGGGGAAAAATAAATCATATACATTATTTTTATGAGAAATACTGCTATCATGGACCAGACATTTTTCTTTCGCGTTGCCGAATTTTTGCGGCCGCCGCATGCTGATGGTGCAGTACGGTAGGGAATTTTCTACGATTAGTTCGTAAATGTATCGGCTTTTAAACTTATCTTCGGAGTCGATGGCTTTGTTTTACAAACAAATCAGACAAATTATTAGCGTTGTTTACACGACTTCAAAACGCTAGCGGGGCGCCCGATGTTCCACCAATGACAGCGATTCTCTCGGTAGCGTCGTGCAAAATGTTTTGGTTCAGCAATATGCAGGGGTCCACACAAAAATAAGGCTAGGGTCGGCGGTTTTTTTTAGGGTCGGTCGGGAAACAGGAAACACAACATTTATTTTCCTAGGCCTAACCTGAACATTCCTATTATAGTGTTAACTCCTTGTAGTAAAGATAAAGCCTGACAAAAGAAAAATGTCTATTTTGTGCCAGATCACAGACGGTACCAGTCAGGTCAGTGCAGCAATGGATAGAAATAGATTTTTCTCTTACCTTTCTGTGTTAGTGATAACTCCTACTCAGATGAAAATGAGTACCTAGCTTTGGTTAGGGACGTCTTCTGTTATAGGACATAAAGCCAGAGGCCCTGTGTTCTTGGAGAGCCTCACCTTGAGCACGTTTAAGAACCCACAGCACTTACCCAAAAGACCAGAGGACCTTCCTGGTGGGAGTGGTTCAAACCTTAGTCTGGTTGACATCTTGAAGAGATGATAGTAACCTGTAATGTCAATTCCTTCCACAGATTCGGTACATCTTAAACTCCTGCTGGAGTAGTAAAAAAAGGGAGACGGAACAAAAATGTGTTTTTGTTATTGTTCTTTCAGCATTTAAACCTTGCACAAATTCTAACCTATAGTTGCCTGTCTTACCCCCACAGGACCTGCATGTGCAGGTGAGAGGAAACTCCATTCGGCTGAAGTTCATTAACATCCAGAAAGACAAAGCCGGCATTTATTACTGCAATAGCAGTAAATAGTAGTATTTACTGTTCACTGGTAGTAATTACACATCTTTACCCCCACAGGACCTGCATGTGCAGGTGAGAGGGAACTCCATTCGGCTGAAGTTCATTAACATCCAGAAAGACAACGCTGGCATTTATTACTGCAATAGCAGTAAATAGTAGTAATTACTGTTCACTGGTAGTAATTACACATCTTACCCCCACATACAGGACCTGCATGTGCAGGCGAGAGGAAACTCCATTCGGCTGAAGTTCATTAACATCCAGAAAGACAACGCTGGCATTTATTACTGCAATAGCAGTAAATAGTAGTAATTACTGTTCACTGGTAGTAATTACACATCTTTACCCCCACAGGACCTGCATGTGCAGGCGAGAGGAAACTCCATTCGGCTGAAGTTCAGTAACATCCAGAAGGACAACACCGGCATTTATTACTCAGGGGTTAAAATACCCGGTCTCGCAGTCTCGCCGCGCAAGTAATTTTTTCTGTGCGAGACTTATTCGGAAAGCCAGGTTGCCCGGAGCGCAAGTTATTTTTACAGCGGCTGGGTTTACGGCCAGCGGCTTCTGAAATAAACAGTGCCGCGGTCCCGCCTGATAACATCCCGCCTCGGCCTGCACGTGAGCAGTCCCTCTACTCAAATAACAGCGGGTGTTGATAATTTGGCGTTTCGCCTCCCTGAGCACGTGCGCGTAGGGATTTAATTCCAATATTTCCCCGATAAATATGTTCGTCATTCGAATTTTCTTCGGCCGAGCGGCGTGGATCGAGCCGCTATCCTGCCGGCTGTGCGCGTGAAGTTTTCGGCGGTTCCGCGGAAAAATAATCCATCCCCAGAAGAAATGTCACGCATGAAAATAACAACTATACCTTAGTTTCCCCGTTTTATGAGTTTTTGAGGCCGTGAAATGTTTAAAACGGTTGAAATTTGTCCAAAAAACCAGCTCGAAAGACTGAGAAATAATGGCCAACATGGCCGACACATGTTGACAACAAAAGTGGTCAAAGGTCAAGTTAGCATCCAAACGTACAGGACATTGCAATGTGCTATAAAAACGATGCTTTAAACGCATGAAATTATTTTTCGGCAACAACAGAAAAAAAAATTCACTCATATTTTTAGAAGGTTAATTTTCAAACATTACTGTGAAATTTTTCAAATTTATTGGTTTCTAGCTTCAGAATATAATAGTTGTTTCTTAGAATGTGCGGTTGGATGCTGTGAAGGAATTGACATATATTAAGTATATTAGACATATATTAGACATATATTAGACATATATTAGACATTAGAGATTTAATATGATCATGCCTACCAGTTTTTGAGTAGGAGTCTCATAGACATAATCACAATTTTATTTGTTCAGCTGTGTCAATATGTGATTTTGTTTGGGATATGATAGGGTTACTACTACTAGCTTAGTTATATTTGGTTTAGTTTATTAAGATGTTGGTAACACCTACTTGCTCCAAGTTCCAGGTAGTAAATACATGTACATTTTGTATCATGTATTTTTCACTTGTTGAACTTGTGGAAGCACCGTTGGCCCCCGGTTAGGGGTCATCCGGGGAACCTATGCCCAATTTTTTTCAAAATTAAGGGTGCTAACAGTACTCAGTAGTTGCACAGCTGTGTCAGAACTTACCAGTGAATAACACAAGACAAGTTTGAGTTTACTTCAATCTTTCTGTCTTTGACTCTTTGATAGAAGTATTTATTAAAGAGTTTTCATCTTAATTTAGCCAAGTTGCTCGAGTTATGCTGGTGTAACTGCATTGCCATGGGTTTAGGTCCGGAATCATAAGGTACGGACCTGAACCTAAACCTCTGGTTATGAGTCCAGAACCTGAACGTGGGTTAAGGTCCGCATCCCTAAGTACAAGGTGGATTGGTCATATTGAGAGAGCTCTGGGTGTTAATGGAAGAAGGCCCAGGCAGGACGAGGCAGATGATGAAACCAGCAGTTCTTCCGGCTCAGAGTCGGAGATGTGAAGGTAGCATTTTTGAATAAACGATGATGTTTGACAGCTGTTGTGTTTGCTACTTGATAAACAAACCTATTAATTGATAAAAAGAAAGGATAATGGATATTGGGTAGCAGATTTGAAGAATCCAGTTCCTTTGAAATGGGGCAACCTGAAATCCTGATGGGGCAACCTGGCTTTTGACCCAGGTTGCCGCCCGGGCAACCTGGAAAAAAAAAGTATTTTAACCCCTGTTACTGCAATAGCAGTAAATAGTAGTATTTACTGTTCACTGGTAGTAATTACATATCTTTACCCCCACAGGACCTGCATGTGCAGGTGAGAGGAAACTCCATTCGGCTGAAGTTCAGTAACATCCAGAAGGACAACGCTGGCATTTATTACTGCAAGAGCAGTAATTAGTAGTAATTATATTACTGTTCACTGGTAGTAATTACACATCTTTACCCCCACAGGACCTGCATGTGCAGGTGAGAGGGAACTCCATTCGGCTGAAGTTCATTAACATCCAGAAAGACAACGCTGGCATTTATTACTGCAATAGCAGTAAATAGTAGTAATTACTGTTCACTTGTAGTAATTACACATCTTACCCCCACAGGACCTGCATGTGCAGGCGAGAGGGAACTCCATTCGGCTGAAGTTCATTAACATCCAGAAGGACAACGCTGGCATTTATTACTGCCGAGCTACGGCGACAAGCGAAGACGGATCCACACAGGATCTGGAGGCTACCATCAAACTCATCATATTCGGTAGGTTGATATTCTTAGGTTCTTTGGCAGGGCCCTGTATTGTGTCCTTAGACACTTAACATTTTTTTTACTGTCGTTACCAAATGTAACTACAGTAGTAAAATGTCGACGACTAAGCTTGGCCGGTCATGTTGTACGAAGTGAAGAACCAGCCAGTAGGCTTCTACTCTGGAACCCTGACACAAAAAGAAGAGTTGGACGGCCAAACGTAACACTTAAGAGACTTATAGAAACTGGAACAGGCTTGCAGGGCCTGGAACTTATCTCTGCGATGAAGGACAGAAAGTTCTGGAGATCTAACTTTGTATGCTCCACCTCTTCGGAGGATGATTGATGATGATGATGAGACACTTAACGCACCCAGGAGTCTTAGTATCTAGTTTTGGTTAGGAATATCTTTTCTCGAGTATGTTAAAGGTCCCACCACACTTACCGAAAAGAATATGGGTCTTTCCTGGTGTGAGTGGATCAAACCTTAGTCTGGTCTTAGGCACATTGTACTCACTATATTCAGTAGTTTATGGGCCGTTCTTAGGTGACAAGGTTGATAGAATAAATGTTCTTTTTCAACGTTATCTGTATCTGTAACACACCAGCTTTACAGGCACATGGCACGGTGGCAGTTAGCTGTATTGCACCGAACGACTTGTTACACTCGACGTTAGATGATTCATGTCTTAATAAGAAGTTGTATACGGCATGGTTTGAATTTGCACTGAAAGTGCATTTGTCTCATAGACTCTGAGAAATTGATGCAGAGGAAAAAGTAATCTCCCGGCAGATTCTTGGGGCACTGGGGGAGACTTGCCATCCCAAGTGAATTAATTGGATACTGCTTGGCCAAATTGATACTGTGTTACCAATCTCACACTATTGGAGCCTAGTCTCCACCAGACTTTTGCGGGGTGAATAAATCGTAGAAATCGGCCTAAAAAGGGTATTAATTGGCCAGAGAAGGTAGCCGGCCAGAGAAGGTAGCCTACTCTAGTACTTACGCAAATTTTATCAACGAATGTAGATTTATGCAATGTTTTAAACCTATTTCGACACCAACCCACTATTTTAATCTTAATATTTTTCTTTCTTATGCTGTTATGATGTAGTAGTTAGAAATATTGTGAACAGTCCATGTATTTCAGCAATGGCTGCAAAGTGGAGTCTGTGCTTATGAAGTAAATAAACCATTATTATATATTTTCCAGAGGCGATCTCGTTCGTCGACCCGCAGCCCACCCAGACAGCGACGGTTGGACAGGCGGCGAGCCTGGTGTGCCAGGCAGCCGGGGAACCTGTGCCGGAGGTCAACTGGTACAGGAACGGAGACTTCATCGCAAACGGAGGTACGTTTTTTCATGTGCTAGGCCTTGGAAAAAAAATGTTGTTTCCTGTTTCCTGACCGACCCTAAAAAAACCTGCCGACCCTAGACTTTTTTTGAGGCTGGACCCCTGCTGGATCAATATCAATTTTTGGAGCTGATCAACCTTTTCTGGCTCCATAATCAGATGCCTGAGTGATAAAATGTTGTACTGGTAAAATTGGTTTTCTAACATTGGCATTGAAAATAAAAGTGTCCTCATGCAAGTTTTACAAGTTAAACTGTATTGTATAAGTTGGACCCCTATATAGATATCAGTGATGTCAAAAAAAAAAATGAAAAAAGAAGATAATCCTTACGTACCGACCCTATTTTTTTCAGGACTGAAACAGGAAACGCAACATTTCTTTTCTTAGGCCCTAACATAAGTAATAGCCTGGGTTGTAACAAATTTGCAGTATGTACTGGTGGAGTGAGTTCTTCTAGAGACTGGCACAATGAGGGCATGTTTCCAGGAGAGTTTGTCAGAGTTTGTTGTGATGAAGACGTAAAAGCCAGTGGTAACAACAGGCATGGAGTCATGAACAGCCACGGAGACCTTGGAAGCATGCGTGGCATTCTGCAGTGAAACACACTTAGCTTGGGAAGACAAGCACAGAACAAAAGGTCATTGTGGGGGCTGCTGGTTGTAACTAAAGGAACCGGCATGTTGTTATGGGGGAAGTGGGTTTTGTTCACTTTTACTACCATATTCAGGGCTCGAAATTAACGGTGTCTCGATACGGCCAGTGACCACTAAAATTTAAGCTGGGACAACTAAAAATGCAATTTGGGACATTTTTGGGACAATAGAAAAATAATCAACATCAGAATATCAGCCCTTCATTTGTTTGGCTCCGGAAAAAGCTCCCCAAATTTTCCCGTTTACTCTGCAATTATAGTGCGCATGGAAGTCAGAACGTAAGCATAATAAAGCTGACTTCAACTTCACTTCAAAACAGGTTCGGACAGTTCATCCTTATTTCTGGACAATTGACATTTATTTTTGGGACAGTGCTGGGACAATAGGAAAAAAATTCTAATTTTGAAATGTTAAAAGCAGCAGCCAGGTTTTGTCCTTCTTGTCTCTGTACCTTGTCTTGTAGATGTTGTAGGTATTTTATGGCCTGTGCTGTAGGTAAGACCAGCCTGGTGTTGTATATGTGACCTGAGTGGCCTGTACATGTCAGGGGTTTCTCTGTCAGCCAGTTAGGCCTAGGATAACAAATGTTGTGTTTCCTGTTTCAGTCCTGAAAAAAATTGGGATTATCCGTTTTCTTTGCCAATCCATAGTTATTGAACTCGTACAATCCAGTTTAACAAAGTAAAACTTGCATGAGGACACATGTATTTTCAATGTCAATGTTAGAAAAACGATTGAACAATATTCCATCACTCGGGTGTCAGATCATGGCACTAGTAAAGCTTGAGCCTCCCCCATAAAGGCTAGAGTCTGAAGTTTTTTCTAGAATTGGTCGGTGAACAGGAAACACAACATTTTTCCCTAGGCCTCAGTTGTGGTTTCTCAGGGATGTGTAAACACTGAAACAAGAATTTGAGGGGGCTGTTGTCGTTTGAAAGTCGGTCATTCATGTGATGCCATCAGACAGTGTAAACAAACTGCTAACAGTTTAGACAAGTAAATTTAGAAAAGCATGTGGCATAGAGTAACTAAGGTTTTAGGGTGAAATGCTTAGTAGGTTGGAAAATAGCAAAATGTAATTCTTACATCAGAACTTGTTGCTCATGAATAGTTTTCATCGTTGGCCATGTCTTGAATTTTTCATAACATTTTTGTCACTTTTCCTAGGAAAATTGATATGTAATTAAATTAACTTGTTGGGAATTTGTGAAACCAAACTGTAAGAATTCTGATTGTTTCTTTGGAAGGGTATACAGTATTATAGAGTAGCTATATCTCTGATCAGTGTTCCAATTCTGCATAGTCGTGTACTATCCATAACAATAGTGTAATTGATGGTTTATGCAGAGTAGCAGTACTTGGTCTATATTTAATTTTCATTGTTGAAACTGCTGAGACCATCAGTTCCCTTATTCAGAGCTACACTGTGTCTGGTGAAGAACAAACAGGAATTGTTTTGACAAGATGATTAACATTTGTGTTGCCTGGTCAGTGTTAGAAATACCCATCTGCTGGCTGCATTTTCAATATTACAGAAGAAAAATGCAGACTGCAAAATGGGTATTTCTAACACTGCTGATAAAAAGAAAGGACCTGTGTCTAGAGGCCAACAGACTAAAAGAAAACTTCTCTCCTCTTAACATCACAAAACCCACATTATAGAAAAAGTGGGATCATTTGTCTAACCTTAGAAAAAGAATTCAAACCCAATGAGTTAGAATCTAGTGATTAGTAGTTAGAGTAGTCACATGCTATATTGTTACCCATCCTGTTGTCCATCCTTAATTTTATGTTACATGTACTTGCAAGTAGCCTATGGGCAGGAACTTGCGATCAACTTTCCTTTCATTGCTGTCGTTTCCCCAGGTCGGTTCCAGAAGAACCCCGACACCAACACCCTACACATCGCCAACGTGACGCTTGATGATGAGGACACCTACACCTGCGAGGCCAGTCAGACCACCAACGGGCAGTACGACGAGCTGCAGATCCTACTGGACGTGCAAGGTATGTCACCGCTCAGGCTTTTACCTACTTAGACTTTAGTTAGTTCCTCCCGTGCAAGGCACATTGGGCAGCAAGTCTTCTCCACTCTGCTCTGTCTTTGGCGAGAGACTCGGCATCCTTCAGTGATACCCCCCTTGCTTTCCAGATCTTTTTGGAGGGTACGTCGCCATGTTAGTTTGGGTCTCCCACTTTTCCGCTTGCCCTCTGGTTTCCAGAACATAGATGTCTTGGCATGGGGGTCTGAGGTCATCCTGAGGACATGTCCAGCATACATGTACCTCATCCTCCTCTCGGTGATGGTGATGCTGAGTGGTTTTGTGCCAGATCAGTTCAGGCTTTTACCTAGGATTTTTTGTTGGGTGTCCAATTTTTTTTATTGTACGCTATGCGCAGGAATATATGCTGCACCCAAGTTTTTTTTTCCATCGTTAGAATATCATTATTTTTGTTCCTATAGTAAGGCAGAAGGGAGGCATGTGTACATGGCAGGGGTTGGGAGTGGAAAAAGAGGGCGTCTCCTACCAAAAAGGAGGAGTCCAATTTCTTATTTTCAGTACAGGGAGTCCAAAAGACACTCAGACACTCCCCTAGCTAAAAGCCTGTCAACACTTTTGTCCCTAAAGTCTAATATATTACTCAAAGGTTTATGTTGTTGGAGTGTTGTTTAGGATAGGCTATTTTAAGTTACTAACCGCGTTTTTCTCTCCCCCAGTCCCTCCCACCCTGGTTACCCGCCCCTCCAGCTCCAATGGTACGGTCGGGCAGGACGTGACCTTGCTGTGTCAGGCGACGGGTGACCCTGACCCGACCTACGCCTGGTTCCGAGACTCCACCGACCCCGCCAACGAACTCACCGCTGACAGGCAAGTTCACGTTCTGTTCATTCTCAAATTGTCATGAAAGTTCATCTGTGTTGGTAGTTACATGTTTAAAGTTAAAACTTTTGGTCCAACACAAAAAGTTCTCTCACCTAGAGCTTTCGACCAGTCACTCTGGTCTTCCTCAGTAGACATGTGACAAGCCTCACTGGGTCAGTCTACTGAGGAAGACCAGAGTGACTGGTCGAAAGCTCTAGGTGAGAGAATTTTTTGTGTTGGAAAAGTTTTAATTTTAAACAAAGTACATCTGTGTTGGTAATAATCATAGTAAAATGTTTTGTAAAATGTTGAATTTGATTCCAGCACCAGGGTTACACAGAGATCAAATTTTCAACAACGACTGTCACCTTCATCACGATAATTCATGTCCAATCGCTTCAAAACAATTCCTCGCGAGAGTTACGGTTACAGACACGTGACATTATTCACACTGATACTTCTCAACTTTATCCCTCAATGTTGAATGATTCAGCCTCACTGCACAAGACGTCCAAAATGAAACTGAACTTGAGAAATTGACCCACCGGAATTTTCTGGAGTTCCCTTTTTTTTTAGTTGGAGAATAGTTTAATTTTCATTCTGTAGCTCAGATGAACTTTCATGCTAAGACATTAATTTCTTACGTGACATAGATTGCCTCTTTTTCTTCATTTTCCTCATTCATCTTGCATCTTCTATGTATTGCTATGTGCAATTCAAATATATTGCTCTGGTATCCATGTATGCTCTTTCTTTTTTTTTTATTCGTTCACATAGAAAAAGGTACAAGACATGGTGGTGCCGCACTCAAGTGGAAAGCACTAATGTTTACGGCACCACTGTATGCTCTTGAGCAGGCTTTCATATGCATATTTGCTTTTTACCCAATCTCCTTCAAACAAATCTGAATAAAGATGTGTACCGTCGCAGGTTTGTGTTCTCCCAGCAGAATGGAGTTGTGGATAAGATGACGATGACCATCAAGGCTCTGACTAAGGCAGACGAGGGAAGGTACATCTGTCAGGCCTCCAACGGAGCAGGGCAGGACCAGGCAGCCGCTAACGTGTTCGTATACGGTAGGACATTCACACTAAACATGTTTATGAATGAATGAAGGAAGGAAGGAAGAGGGGGAGGGACGGAGGGAGGGAGGGAGGTACATCTGTCAGGCCTCCAACGGAGCAGGGCAGGACCAGGCTGCCGCTAACGTGTTTGTTAGCTTGATTAGATCGTTCGCTAACTTGTGATGGCTTAAAGGACCATTTGGTAACATCCATATGAATCCATATGTGTTAGACTTTCTTGCTACCTTGGTCCCTTAACAACTTAACTCAGGGTTGTGGAGGTACTGTATGGTGGAGTGTCGAACCGTCTGCCTCCATCTCTCTGGGTCTTCTCCAGTTCTTAGACTAGAACGTTAGAAACCATTGTTGTTGTCCCTACAGTCCCCCCCAGCATCAGTGACCCCCAGGACACCAGCACCCCTGTAACTGTTGTTGTTGCCCCTACAGTCCCCCCCAGCATCAGTGACCCCCAGGACACCAGCACCCCTGTAACTGTTGTTGTTGTCCCTACAGTCCCCCCAGCATCAGTGACCCCCAGGACACCAGCACCCCTGTAACTGTTGTTGTTGCCCCTACAGTCCCCCCCAGCATCAGTGACCCCCAGGACACCAGCACCCCCGAGGGTCAGTCTGTTGACCTTCGTTGCTCGGCAACAGGAGACCCCACACCCATGCTGCAGTGGAGAAAGGGAGGCGGGGACATGGTGGACGGATCGGTAAGCTTCGTGTCATCACTTGCCGAGAGAACAGTTGTGTGTGAAGTTTGCTAGGACACTTGTGAGGTCAGAGTACAGAGACTGGCTACCTGCACAGAGATCACAAATAACTGGCCGTAGTACTAGAAACAGCGAGAGCAAGAACGAATAGATATAAGAACTCGCCTATACCGTTTATGGTCCAGCTCCTCAATAACTATGGACTGAACCCGTGACTGTTGTCTTTTTAAATGTAGTGCAGTGTTCTGTATCAAATGTTGTCCGGGAAATTTGTAATGTATGAAACATGTATCTTTATTGGTTTGTTAATCGTACGCCTATATTGATTGCAAACCTGTAGTTTTAATATACCAATGTTTTGTAACTTGGTTTACAATTCAGTTGTTTTTAACTGCGAAGAACCAATAAATCCATATTGAATCTTGATTCTGTACAAGTAGAACTTGGCTGCAGGAGCAGAAAACATATCGATGAAGGGTCATTTATTTATTTATTTCTTCATAAAATGACTGGGTAGCCAATTCAGCTTGTAGAAGCTGCTTTCCAACGGAGCCTAGCATACATGTACACAGGACAAGACATGATTACATTTAGTCAAGCAACAGAAAATGGACAGTAGTCAGATAAAATCTGATGCATCAAAACAAAAGTATGTCACATACTCGTCACTCTAAGCCAGACAGACCTATCTTCTGCCAAAGTCACCAAAGGCTGATTTTGGAGACTTCTAAAAGTCGTGTCTGAACAGTTACATTTCAGGATCATTTTCCTTCTCTTTTAGATCTATCTGGAACAAATGGTAATCACCATTATAAATGCTTTTCAAATCTATCCAGAATACCTGAAGAAATCCTAACGTCATTACAACCTGAACGTGTGCAGTGGTTAGCGACCCTGCCTCGGGACCAAGAGGTTGTGAGTTCGAATCCTGGCTGTCGCTTACCCAACATGCATGCTACCGGAAAGTGTTACAGTCCTTGTAGGATAGGATGTTGAGCCCAGTACAATGCACCTGTATGTACTGTACATACATGTACCATCTGTCTTCTCTGTCACGACCAGTGAAGCAGTTTGAAAAAAAAAAAAAGAAAACTGGATATGATTTTAGAAACCGTCAGCTTTTCAGGTAGCATCCACAACCTTTTGTCAGTGGCACTGGGTGGAACGGTAGCTCGTGTTTGAGCTAAAACTAGATAAAGACTAGAAAGGTAATATTTGCAAAGCAAATGCATATTGTTTACCTTCGCATATGGTCTGCTCTGTTAATTCTTACTCAGATACATTCATACATATGGTCAGACAGGAGTATACATCCTTCCTACTATAAGATTGCAACATTATGTAACCCAACACCAGTTACCATGGTGACAGACGTCAACAAATCAGGTCATTGGCCAGGTCAGAGTTTAGTGTTTGGAGAAGAAGAAGAGGAAACTGAGCAAAAACAATATGTTTTCCTTCGGTAAACATAATAATTTTTCTCATACTGACGTTAAACATTTTCACCTCTGCAGAACCCTCGGTTCACAGTGAGCACAGATCCAAACACAGGAGAAACCATCCTCACCATCAGTCACGTCTAAAACTGGATAAAGATCACTTTTCTCATACTAACGTTAACATTTCCCCTCTGCAGGACCCTCGGTTCACAGTGAGCACAGATCCCAGCACAGGAGAAACCATCCTCACCATCAGTCACGTCTAAAACTGGATAAAGATCACTTTTCTCATACTGACGTTAACATTTCCCCCTTGCAGGACCCTCGGTTCACAGTGAGCACAGATCCCAGCACAGGAGAAACCATCCTCACCATCAGACAGGTCACCTACAGCGACAGGGGCAGCTTCACCTGTATAGCCACAAACCTCGGAGGCACCGACCAGAAAACACTCAACTTGGACGTACAATGTGAGTGGATTTTGTTTCTTCGTTGTATTTTATTCACACATATTTTCTGACGATGGGGCAAAAGTAATACTAGTCTCTCTCCTCACACATAAAACTAACAACAAAATCAATAAATGCAAGATAGTAACCATACAATACCCAGTAGAAAACACCTTGGATGTACAATGTGAGTGCATTTTAGTTCTTTCTTTTATTCACAATCACACATATTTACCGAGGACTGGGCAAAAGTAATAACTGAATGTGTTAGAGATACTCTAACACATTCTTATGAAAGTCTTATGAAGGATCATGAAGGATCATGAATGATTCTATTATTTTCTGACACTTAGATGTTAAAAGTATGCTGCATGTATACAACTATACATCTTGACATACATATACCTACAAACATTTTGGGTGCACTGGTGCACTCACAGGAAAAAACTCGGTGCACAGCTCCAAATTTGAGTGCACTAAGGTGCACATGCACCCAGTATTTCCAGCCCTAAATGCTGACATGTTTTTGCCATAACTGCCCGTCTGACCGGTGATATCCTGACTCATGGCTGGTGATTATGCATGAGACTGACTCACATGTAACAGATAGCAGGCTTTATATAGTTTTTGCCGTCCCAGGATTTCAATTAAGGATCATTGAATCAATTTTCTGCCCGGTTTCTGATCAAATTAGGATAAGAGTGGAGTTATTGTTCTTCATAATCTGGCCTGATTAGACGGGAGTCTGCACTCAGGTTCAGACGACTGCCACACTTTTTTTCCCTTATGTTAAAGGCAGATGCAGTTTCAGGGTGGCAATACAGAAATACTGTGGAAAAGGAAATCTGTCTGATATTAACATGAACTGCTATTGCTTAGCACCAATCACCAATAAATAGGAGCAATTTCTCCAATTCATGGTATCATTCTTAGACACTCTTTTATACAAAAAGGGCAGTAATCTACATTTTGTTGGCAGAGATGATTATAGCATAACAGTTTGAAATTTCAAAGCTCAGATCATTGGTCGGCTATTTTTTAACGGCAGCATCATCACATGCTGCCTGATTTGTCTGAGGCCCCGTGTTTCAGAAGAGCCACGTCCCACACACGTTATGCTAGTTAGGCAGCCTTGGCTGTGTCTTCAGCCAAATTGAATGAATAAATGACAAATAAACTAGAAAGGTAACACTTGCAAGGCAAATGCATAATGTTTACCTGTGCATATGGTCTGTTCTGTTAATTCTTCCTCAAACACATTCATATATATATGGTTCAAATGGGTGTAAATCCCTCCTGCTATAAAATTGCAACATGATGTAACCCAACACCAGTTACCATGGTGACGGACGTCTGGTTTAGGTCATTGACCTTATGTGTTTGGAGAAGAAGAGGAGGAAGAAGAAACAGTGGTCGCTGAAAATTTGATCTGTGTAATTGTATCTTGGAATAAAATTCAATGTTTTACTATGATTACTACCAACACTGATGAACTTTCTTGATAAGCAGAAACAATATGTTTTGCTTCTGCAAAGGTAAACATAACTAGAGAAGTAACATTTGCAAAGCAAATGCATAATGTTTACCTTCGGACATGGTCTGCTCTGTTTTAGAATTAAAATTCTTTATTTATTTATTTATTATAAATTCTTACTCAAACACATTCACATACATGTACTACTAGTACATGGTGACAGGAGCAGAGCAGACCATGAAATTGCAACATTATGTAACCCAACACCAGTCACTATGGTGACAGTCGTCAACAAATCATGTCATTGGTCAGGTCAGAGGTCACTGTTTGGAGAAGAAGAGGAAGAAACTGAGTAAAAACAATATGATTTCCTTCTGCAAAGGTAAACATAATAAATAAAACCTTCTCTCCCCCTGCAGTCAAGCCGAAGGTGGATGAGTCGACTCCGAGCGTTGCGGCCACATGGGTGGGCAACCCTGTCAATCTAACGTGCAGCTTCACCAGTAACCCAGCTCCCGAGATCAAATGGTCCCTCAACAACGCAGACATCCAGGATGGAGGCAGTTACGCTGTTTTCACGTCTGCTTCTGGAAGCACCCTACAGGTACATGGTCCTTACTTAGTACTAGTACTGTAGCATCTTACAGGTACCACACTTACTACTGGTACCATGTTCATGAGTACCATATTGTGCATGGTCATCAATTAACACGAGTACTGTAGCGTGTTACAGGTACGTGGTCCTCACATATCACTCCAGTACCGTAATTCACTGACAAATTTGCGACACATTTATTGTAAATGTGACAATTTGCGTCACATTCACTACGAAAGTGACAAATTTGTGACACATTCACTACAAAAGTGACAAATTTGTGACACATTCACTACAAAAGTGACAAATTTGTGACCCTTTTACTGTTACAGTAAAATTGGCAAATTCATTGTGACACATTTACTGTAAAAGTGGCAAATTTGTTGGGACAATTTTACTGTAAATGTCACAAATTCGTGAAACATTTACTGTAAAAGTTACAAATTTGTGACATACTTTTACTGTTAAAGTGACAAATTTACTACACATTTTACTGTAAAAGTGACAAATTTGTTTCCCCCGCCACAGGTTACCCCAGCAGATGACGGTGCCTTCGGGATGTACAACTGCACAGCTTCCAACCCGCTGGGAGGGGCTAACAGGGAGGTCCTGCTCAAGGAAGCAGGTTAGAACTCTTATAAATTACTTCAGGCCTCCAAATCAACTCTTTCTAGTTGTTACAGTTTTTCCATATGCCATGAATGCAATGGTGTAAAACTCGTTTGAATTACACGTCATCGGCACCCTGGTTTGTGGACTTCATGGCTCCTATTGTAGAAGTTTGGTGCTATCGTAGGATGCCTAGGCCTGTTTTTTCTGTTTCGTTATTCGCTGTTGCTGCATATTTTAAAAAAAAAATATCTGAGAATCAACCAATCAAATTGGTAACTCTCACGAGTTTACATTCGGAAGTGATTGGTCATTAATTATCCTGATGAAGATGACGGTGGTCGTTGAAAATTTGATCTCTGTGTAACCCCATGTGTGGCTTTGTAACATGACTGTTTGCGTGTCTGTATATGTATTGTAATGTTAATGTGTATTTGCATTTACTATGTACAAAATTCTAAAAGTCAGTGTTATTCAGCTTAGTTGACGTGTAAACTGGCTGCAAGGCTGATTTTATTAATAAAACTTGAAACTTGAACTTGAAACTTGAACCCTTGTGTTGGAATAAAGTTCAATATTTTACTAGAATTAACTGGGTACTGCCTTGTCCCCCCACTAGTGTCCCCGGACCCCCCCAGTAATGTGCGGACCACCGAGCAGACCCCGACGTCCGTGAAGCTGGCGTTCGACGCTCCGCTCAGCGACGGCGGCGTTCCTGTCAAGACCTACGTCGTCCAGTACTCCGTCTCTACCGGGGACAACTCCACAGCTGCCCTCAAGAACTTCACCACAACTGCACCAGGTAGGAACTCACTCAGTCACACTGGTACAATCAGTAAGGTAGCCTGGATGTCGAACTGTTGTCAGGGCTAGTACACAGGCCTGTAGCCTGGATGCCAGACTGTTGTCAGGGCTAGTATACAGGCCTGTAGCCTGGATGCCAGACTGTTGTCAGGGCTAGTACACACTCCTGTAGCCTGGATGCCAGACTGTTGTCAGGGCTAGTACACAGACCTGTAGCCTGGATGTCGTCCAGTACTCCGTCTCTACCGGAGACAACTCCACAGCTGTACTCAAGAACTTCACCACAACTGCACCAGGTAGGAACTCACTCAAGTACAGTAATGCAGCAATGAGAAATTCATTGCAAATTCCTGCCCAAAGGCTACTTGCAGATAACGAGGAACATTGAAACAGAGTACAAATAACTTCAAAATCTACATTAAATTTTTATCGTCTAAAACTACAGCTATGTATAAAACTATGTTTGAAGGGTTCGACTTCTCTTGTAAACCATGGAAGACGTAATGTCCCACCTTTTCCAAAATCTGTGGGTTTTGCGTAGATCAAAAGAGAATAGTTTAGAGGAATGGGATGTACACTAAGTGAAACATTAAGAAGGACAGAAAACTGGGAAGGGTAGAGAAAAGTGGTTGCCACTGGGTACCTCAAGGGTGGAAGAGTCAGACTAAGGGACAAATGGGATGTTGGTGTAGCAGTGGTCGAAATACTTTTTTTCAGTGATCTGCAATATTGCAGAAGAGTCCAAATTTTGTTCTGCAATTTGGAAATACTTTCTGCAAATACACAAGCCTCCATACTACAATCTTGCAGGTTTATAAGCATGAACTATTGATTGATATTCAAATTAGTGAAGACAAATTTTTGGAAGTCCAAAAAGAAACAAAAGATAGACAAGTCCAGACAATGTTGATGCAAATTAGTGAAGAAGCTCCTGTTGTTTCAGAACAGGACCTTAAGTGTTGTCTGTCCTTGGGGCCAAGAGCATCAAATCCCAAGTGCAAATTTTTCCTGCTGCAAAATTGCAGATTGTATAAATTTTTCTTCTGCAATCTTGAAAATCTATCTGCAGATTGCAGACTGCAGACAGGTATTTCGAACACTGTGTAGTGTGCTTGAGATGCAGTTGATGGTAAAGTTGATGATACATATTTAGGGAAATTACAAGGCTGTTACCATGGTTAGTGATGCCATTCATACATTTCATGCATATTTATGGAAGTAATTGGATCATAATGTTAACATCTGATGCCCTCCATACCAGCATGGGAACCAAATCCTCCCACTAGATAAAGATCTTCCACATAACATGTCAGGAAGGTCATGGTCAGGCCGTGTGTCTGTCCCTGAAGACAGTCCAACTTCAAGTTCAACTTTTCCTGCAATTTACTCTCATTTCGTGCATTCAGTACAGTCGTGTGTGAAGACCTCAGGGAGGTTGTGTTGATAAGTCTGTATGAAATATGCAATTCAGCCAGACTTGGCTGTAATGTATTTTTTATGTTTACCGCAAGAAAACATATTGTTTTCACTCAGTTTCTTCCTCTTCTCCAAACAGTGACCTCTGACCTGACCAATGACATGATTTGTTGATGTCTGTCACCATGGTGACTGGTGTTGGGATACATAATGTTGCAAACTTCATGGTCTGCTCTGCTCCTGTCACCATATACTTAAGTAGTACATGTATGTGTATGTGTTCGAGTAAGAATTAACAGAGCAGAACATGTCCGAAGGTAAACATTATGCATTTGCTTCGCAAATGTCACTTCTCTAGTATTAAATAAACCATGCATTCATTCTTTCTTTCTCTCTTTTCCCGGAAGCTGGCACAGTTGAGATTCCGGGACTGAAACCTGAGACGCCCTACAAGTTCATGGTCGTGGCCATCAACGATGTGGGATCCAGCGACCCGTCCGACCCCCCGCTGGTCATCTCAACCAAGGAGATACGTAAGTAGTGTTTGGTGTTGTGGCAAGTCAGAGAAATGTCTTTTAGTAACTCAGAGAAGTGTCTTAGCAAATCAGAAAAATGTCTCAGCAATTCAAGAGAAAAATGTCTGTTTTGTACGACCATAGACAGCTGTACTTGGAGGTGTTTTGGTCAGCAGGTATGGAAAACCTACAAACTCCAGTATGCCAAAAACAGTTACTCAAGCAACTGGATGTGATTTTGGAAACAGTCAGACGTTTCAGGTAGCATCCATTACCTTTCGTCAGTGACACTGGAGAGTTGTCAGAAAAGCAGGTTTATAAGCACAAACTATTGATATTACAGAACTACTACCTGAAATGTCTGACCGTTTCCAAAATCATATCCAGTTGTTTGAGTAACTGTTTTTGGTGTATCTTATTCTCAGGATGTCTAACCTTCAACCGAGGAACTCTAGTATGATTTTGAATAGTATCTTCAAGTTTCTTCTTTTGTTGAGTAATCTCAGTTTTACGAGTCACAAAGTTTGTAAACTGATTTTCTTTAGTCAGTCAGCGCTTGTTTCACTAAACATGGACAGGAAGCACGTTTCACAGCCGCTGTGGGAAAACCTCAGCCGACAGAAAGTATTTTGTTGTGGAACAAACGTCTCAGACTCTGCGGATGTTCTCAGAAAGTTGAAAACAATTTCCCGTCAGTTAGGGCTGTAATTTATCTACACCCTACCTGACTAATTCATTATGAAAAACTTAAACTGTTCTCCAACTCAAAATTTGACTCACCAGAAATTTTTGACTGAATCACTTCCTCAGCTATCTGACTGGAGTACAGTTTAAGTTTTTCATAATGTAATTTACCAACTCAGATGAACTTTCATGGTGACTAAGTCATAATTAAGTTTTTGCAGTGTGAAATTGCAGGGAGGGTGACAGTAGCAGTGTGCATGTGTTTGTGTATAGGAGGTTGTGTTGTAGGTTATATATAGTGTAACATATGATAGATTGTACTGATTGTTTGAACTCACAGTTTGGAACGGTGCATGTGTTTCGTAACGGGTTCAAAAATTCACCCACCGTCCATGATTGTGTGTCGTGTTATGACTTGATCTGACCTTGTAATTTTGTTTTGTTCTTTTTTTTTTCCTTCCTTTGGTTGTTTCTGTGCCTTGTTGTCACGTTGCCCTGTTCTCCCTGCCTTCTGAACGGGGCAGCACGTAAGTTCTTTTTCCTCCCTTCAACTCAGCAGGGTTGGACAAGATTTCAAACATCCACTTGCCCGGTACTTGCCCGATAGTCATTTCCACTTGCCCAAACCTAACTTTTCACTTGCCCAAAATATACATGACATTTTTATATGCATTTTCAATACCAGCAAGGAAATCATTTTGCTGCATACTTCATTTATCAAAATAAGGTGGGTTTCAGACTTGCAATGGATTTTCTGACTAAAGGGCATTAATGTAGTAATATTATTATGGCAAAATGATGAGTAATTTTGCTCCAAACACCATAGCAGCTATACTTGCCCAATCGGACAAGTACAGAGGGATATTTACTTGCCTGAACAGTACTTTTACTTTCCCTGGGCAAGTGGGCAACGGGACTTGTCCAACCCTGTCCCTTCATTCTTTGGTTAACCATCGGAACTATCCGTGTGTAGTTGTGAAGTATGCTTCGCCTGGGGCTGGCCAATGCATGAAGCAGCGATGTGCCTGTTTTTTCAGTTCGTTAGGCCACGCCAATATTTGATTTGTTGGTTCTCTGATTTTTTCAGAAAAGATTTGAAGCGACAGGATGGGAAAAAAATAGAAACAGGCCTATGTTGGATGTCTACCCCCAAATGCTATGATAGGAGTTAGAAAGTCAACATACCAGGCTGGTTTGTGATTCAAACAATAAATTTCAAACCTTGAAATAAACCACTGCATTGACAGATGGAAAAAGTGACTGTAACAGCTCTGAAGAGAAGGGGCTTCCTTCAACTGTTGGGGCCAAAATATGAGCATTTTTGGAGTTGATTCGGAGCCTGAAATGTGTTTTTTTTTTTTACAAATCAAAGAAAATGAAGCAGGCGAATCTGAGAACCAACAGATTGAATTGGTGTGGCCTTCCAAGGCTTTAGTTCAGCATGCAGCGTAGGTGTTCGGTGTTTGATGTCGGTGTGTACTCATGTAATGGTTGATTTCAGCAGACTTATTACTGTAGCTCTGCTGACTGTTATTGAAGCAGTGGGGAGACAAATCGTGTTAAACTGTATCACGGACCAGTGCCAGGGAAACTGGGCACCCGCCGCACAGTGTTACAGCCTTTCTCGTAAAACTATAATTATATGATCATGGTTTCCTCTTCAGAGATTTTAAAATACTGTAATTCACTTCATGTTCACGGTAGCAAAAGTTCACGGTCTGAGAAAAATGGACAAGTTTGCGGAACTATATATTCACGGTGGCGACAGGTGCAGGAAAAAGGAAGTCTAAAAATTATTTGTTAACTGTAATGATAAGTTCGCAGTACAGAAGTGACAGTAAAAACAGTGAACATAACAGTGCAGTGAAAAAGTCAGGAATTACAGTAATATCAATGTAGACAGTACTACAACTGCAGACAAAAATTCCTTGCTAATACAACTATAGACTGGTATGTGGTGCAGTCTGTTTTTACTCATGACTACACCCCCACGAGCACAGTGGTTTGGCCCGTCAGGGTAATGACATTGAGGTTTGCACACTTCATTAGGAACTGTCAAGTTCATGTGGATCAAATTACGTTCCACGGTTATAGGAACTGATGAAAATTCATGGAGAACCACCAAATAAAATATTGGCAGCAGTTTTTAAGCCACTGCAACAGGATAAACCTTTAGTAATTCAATTCAATTTTTATTAAAACAATTTGCAGACATGTGTCTGAATCGTTGTCCTTGACAACAGTGGGCACTTCGTCAATTCCAATAACATTAAATATCCACTTTTACAATTACAAATAGTCTAAAAAATATGTTAACAAAGCAAATAAGACATTCCTTCAGCCACGGACAGTCACATTTACCAGAATCTGGCACAAGTGTGATTGTGATGTTTATTATTCCATAAAAAGATAATAACTGCAGCAGGACACAGTGCTCTACTGGCTGTCAAAGATATGAAGAACAAAAAATATGGAGAACAAAATCCCGTCCGACACCCCAGGAGACATTTCAGAACACACCCTACATAATGTCTCCCTCGTGAATTCTGCTTTTGCAAGATATGTCGTAAATGATACGTCATATGTGATAATTGTGTGTGGGGAAAATCTGTAGAAAAATGCTACCAAAAGAACCATCGGAGTATGTTTCCCAGTTCACCTAAGAAGGAAATTGTTTCAGCCCCAAAAGTGGTAAATTTTGTTTAGGCCACAGCAAGTAAATTTTATGGATGACATCCTCTGCAGACTCCAAATCTAATGCGAGCGGGCGAAAAAAAAACAAGGTTCTTACATTTTGAAATTTTGACTCAATCATTGTACCAATGGTTTTGATTCAATGGGAACATCACATATACACAGCCAACATCACATATCACTGCATCAAAGTAAGAAACAAAACATAAAATCAGAGCCTTGTCTTGTCTCCTCTCTTTATAGTTATCTGCCATCCACCTTCTGGCATGGCAACAGACAGCTTGGCCTATTTTCGGCATGGTGACCACTGACAGAAGGCAACAAAATTTCATGTTTTTTTTCCAAAATCAGGCGAAAATTAATGCGGCGCTGATGTCATCCATAAAAATTACTTGCTGTGGCCTTAGTTGTCCTGAAGGATATGAAGAGCCACAGTCTAATTTTTCCACTGTCAGAATCATCCGATAGCCTGATTTACCAGTGACCTCCCAGACTCCAGCTTTTTAATCACAGTCTGAGTCGGTTCCTCCTTCTTTACTTTGTGACTTGAAATCGGCACCAAAAATGTGCCCTAGCAAAGCTCAATGTTCCAGGGTAGTCTCCACCAGACTCCTTTGCAGGCTAAATAAACAGTAGAAATCAGCCTAAAAAGCTGAATAAATAGTAGAAATCGCCCTAAAATGTAACTGGTAGGTAGCCAGCCATAGCTTCGTGCAGGCAAACTGGACCCTCTATGGACGGCCAACTTCCCTGGCCAGCTACATTTAGGACGATTTCTACTATTTATTCAGCCTGCAAAGGAGTCTGGTGGAGACTATTGCCAGCCAGCCTGACCCTCCCTTCAGCAGTGACAGTTACAGAAACCAGACCTGGTTCCCCCTGATCTCTCACTTATCCCTCCCACCAGACAGATCCGGGAGTTCTTGCATAGTAATTGAATTGAAGTTCCTGGCCTCTTGCAGCAAGTCACTTATTAGATTAGGCAGACAGGTAATATAATATATACCCAGGGGATACACACTAATGGTAGCAGTCTTAGCAGACCATATTAAGGCCACACCAATTTAATTTCTTGGTTAACGGATTTTTCTAGAAAAATAATGGAGCGGGCGGGCGAAAAAATAAATAAAACCAGTATAGGCATCCTATTATGGCCCAAAATGATACGATAGGAGCCATGAAGTCAACACACCAGGCTGGTTCAAAATTTAAAAAATGAATTTTGAACTTTTAATGATACCATTGCATTGAAAGATGAAATAACTGTAACAACTAGGAAGAAAAGGGCTGTTTTCAACTGTTCACGGCAAAATATGAGAATTTTGCAGTTGATTCTGAATTTTTATTTTTATTTGCAAATCAGAAAAAAATGAAGCGGGCAAATACGTTAACCAAGAAATTGAATTGGTGTGGCCTTAAGAAGACCATATTAACAGTGCAGGGCTGGAAACTCTCTTACCATGGACTGTTTCTGCAGAATAAATTTTCTGTCATGAATATATAATGAGGCAGGTTGTGTTAATTATACCCTGAGCAATAAAAAAGAGTAGACCAGGAGACGCCCGTCTGGTAGCCCTAATTGTTGAATGGTGAGATTGATGTATTATACATGTACATTGAGTGAGATTTGTGTACATAACTGTGTCATCTGTGGTGTCGAGGGAGCTTTCATGACACTCCGGGTGCATGGCACGCACGTGGGCTGTTCTGTGGTGATTTCCATGCGTGGAAATGAAATAGAAGTTACCAAAATGTGCAGTAAGGATACGTGTTTCCAGTGTTAGAAATACACGTAGGTGGTGGCTGCTATAAAGATCTAGCTTCCTGTAGACCTGTATTTTCACCCCACTTGGACTCTTATTCTTTGGTATGGGCAGCCAATATCGTCTTGCCGATGAATCTGCTGCACTGGTTAGGTCAGGAAATTGAAGTCAACTGCAGATGTTGGTGTTGGTTTCAGGTATTTGGTTTGGAAGTACAATGTTAGGTGGTTAGTGTAGGTGGGCCAACTTATCCTTGAAGGATGCCAGAGTAGGCACGGTGGCTGTCTCTACTGGCAGAGAGTTTCACTCCGGAATGGTGCTGGTGAAAAATGTCATTTGCCTATACAGGGTTTTGCATACAGGACTCACGTAGGCCAGGGGATCCATATGCTGTGACTGGGATGGGTTACAGTGGTCTAGACGGGATCTCTGGAGAAACAAGTCCAACACAATTAGATAGTGTTTCTTTCAAGCTCAATCACTGGATATAAAAATTTATTGTCAGACGTTTTCCAAGTATCTTTCCGACACTCTTCATCAGTGAAAAATGTTTACGTAGCAATTACGGAACGAGAAACAAAAGGTTCTAAATAAACAAAACAGGTAACAGTCAAGTCTCCTGTACCTACGTGTACAAACGTATCAAGTCCAACACAGTTTTGTTTTGTTTTGTTTTACCCAAACCTCTGTCCTTTGAGTAACACGTGTCGTCTTCAAGTGCCAAGAAATTTGTTTTGGGTGTGGATGCAAGAAATAATGAGTTGTGATTCCTACAGGCTCCAACAAGAAACAAGTTCCAATTCCTGCAGACTCCAAGCCTAAACACACCGCCCACTTCTGCCCTTTGCAACCGAAGAACCCAAATCAGACTTGCCTTGTCCCGGTCTAAGGCCACACCAATTTAATTTCTTGGTTAACGGATTCGCCCGCTTCATTTTTTTCTGATTTGCAAATAATAAAAAAATTCAGAATCAACTGCAAAATGCTCATATTTTGCCCTGATTAGTTGAAAACAGTCCTTTTCTTCCTAGTTGTTACAGTTATTCCATCTTTCAATGCAGTGGTATCATTAAAAGTTCAAAATTCATTGTTTAAATTTTGAACCAGCCTGGTGTGTTGACTTCATGGCTCTTATCGTACCATTTTGGGCCATAATAGGATGCCTAGGCCTGTTTTTATTTTTATTTTTTCGCCCGCCCGCTCCATTATTTTTCTAGAAAAATCCGTTAACCAAGAAATTAAATTGGTGTGGCCTAAGTGGGGTCCTTGGCTCTAGAGCTTTTTAAGTGGGTGTCAGACTGTACCAAGGCTCTGTGTGCTGGGATGACAAACCTCTTACGTTATTAACCTTCTCCCTGCTGCCTAATACCGTGCCCAATAGATAATTGGTAGCTAAATGGGTACTTAGTGTGCTAAAGGTTAACCTTCTCCCTGCTGCCTAACTCTGTTACCAAGAGAATTGATACACAAACAGCTGCTTTAGAGTACTAAAGCTTAACCTTCTCCCTGCTGCCTAATACTGTGCCCAATAGAGAATTGATACACAAACACTTGCTTCAGTGTGCTAAAGGTTAACCTTCTCCCCTGCTGCCTAACCCCGTATATTCTTGGTAGCCAAACAGCTACTTCAGTATACTAAAGGTTAACCTCCCTGCTGCCGAATACTGTGCCCAATAGAGAATTGGTAGCCAAACCCCTGCTTTAGAGTACTAAAGCTTGACCTTTAGCACACTGGAAGTGGAAGCTTGCTGCCCAATGTGCCATTAAGCACAGGAGGAACTAAGGTCAAGGTTAACCTTCTCCCAGCTGCCTAATACCTTGCCCAATAGAGAATTGGTAGCCAAACAGCTACCTCAGTGTGCTAAAGGTTAACCTTCTCCCTGCTGCCTTACCCTGTAACCAATAGAGAATTGGTACCCAAGGTTAACCTTCTCCCTGCTGCCTAACCCTGTAACCAATAGAGAATTGGTAGCCAAACAGCTACCTCAGTGTGCTAGCCTAAAGGTTAACCTTCTCCCTGCTGCCTAACTCTGTTACCAATAGAGAATTGGTACCCAAGGTTAACCTTCTCCCTGCTGCCTAATACCTTGCCCAATAGAGAATTGGTAGCCAGTCTCAGTATGCCAAAGGTTGACCAAAAGATGCCCATGTGTCCTCAGGTGTACCCTACAAGCCTGCAATCCTGAACAACACGGCCGACGATTCGACCCAGTACACGCTGAAATGGCAGACTCCCAACACAGGAGGGTCGGCACTTACCCAGTACACCATCAAATACAGGCCGGTAAGTACAGCCACATTACACCCTTACCCAGTACACCATCAAATACAGGCCAGTAAGTACAGCACATTACATCCTTACCCAGTACACCATCAAATACAGCCACATTACACCCTTACCCAGTACACCATCAAATACAGCCACATTACACCCTTACCCAGTACACCATCAAATACAGGCCAGTAAGTACAGCCACATTACACCCTTACCCAGTACACCATCAAATACAGCCACATTACACCCTTACCCAGTACACCATCAAATACAGGCCAGTAAGTACAGCACATTACATCCTTACCCAGTACATCATCAAATACAGCACATTACGCCCTTACCCAGTACACCATCAAATACAGGCCAGTAAGTACAGCACATTACACCCTTACCCAGTACACCATCAAATACAGGCCAGTAAGTACAGCACATTACATCCTTACCCAGTACATCATCAAATACAGCACATTACGCCCTTACCCAGTACACCATCAAATACAGCCACATTACACCCTTACCCAGTACACCATCAAATACAGCCACATTACACCCTTACCCAGTACACCATCAAATACAGGCCAGTAAGTACAGCACATTACATCCTTACCCAGTACATCATCAAATACAGCACATTACGCCCTTACCCAGTACACCATCAAATACACCCATCTTTTTTCTGTGGTTGCACTGGTGCACCCGAATATTTCTGTAGGTATTTTTGTACAAATAAATAGATTGTACAAGTATACAGGATATTCTTGGCATCTGAGTAAAAAAAATAATGAAATCTGGTGTAACTTGTTTAAGCCTTTGAAGTCAGCTCCCGTTTCAGATTCAAGCTTAGAAGAGGAGCAGTAAGATCTGTAATTAGGTTTTGTTTTATAATGGTGCACCCAAAAAAAAATTTTTGTGCACCCAAATTTTTAGGTTGGGTGCATCAGTGCACCTATTCCCAAACAAGAATTTCGAGCCCTGGGCTGTAAACATTACAGAGTTGAGGTCATCATTACGAAGTGCTTTTTGCGGACCACAGCCATCAATTACACTGGTACTAATTGTTAATTAACCCCCTTTTGAAAAATCCACCGATGGCCCTCTGTGAGTTTATTGGGCCGCTATTCCTGTCGATTACTTGGAAGAATAAATCTGACGCCCAGTTCGATAGAATTTTCCATAATCCTATTTCTGAACTCATTGATTTTTGTTTAGAAAGAATTAGACTGCCTAAAGCACTTTGCAGTGTGAGCAGTCCTAAGGCCACACCAAGTTGATTCGTTGCTTCTCGGATTCGCCCTGTCCATTTTTTCTAAGAATATTTTAGATTCTGAATCAACTGCAAGATGGTCAATGAAAGACATATTTTGGCCCCTACAAATGAAGAAAGTCCCTTTCTTTGTAGTTGTTTTTCGATGTAACAATGCAACTTTGTGTCAAAGTTCAAAATCTATTGTTTTAATTATAAACCAGTCAGGTATGTTGACTTAATGGCTCATATTGTAACATTTCTGGCTATCATGGGGTGCCTTGGCCTGTTTTTTTTTTCCTGTCGCTTCATATTTTTTCTGACAAAATCTGAGAAGCAACAAATTAAATTGGTGTGGCCTAAAGCACTCTATTTGTCATTGCAGCATGCTCTACCAAGTGTACCTTGTAAAAGATAATAGTGCACTGATTCTACAAATTTTAAACTCTACACTGTTAATGTGTGTAATTGTTTGTGATCTTTCATAATGATATACATAATCTGACAATGACTTTACTGTAACTTTCAATATACTAGCAATCACTCTTTTAATTTAAATCATAAACACGCATATAATTTGAAGACATACGCAACTGGCATTTCCTGAGCACTGTTGTATGATTATTCAGTGTTCGAAATACCTGTCTGCAATCTGCAGATAGATTTTCAAGATTGCAGAAGAAAAATTTATACAATCTGCAATTTTGCAGCAGTAAAAATTGGCACTTGGGATTTGACACTTTTGGCCCCAAGGACAGACATCCTGTTTTGAACAACAGGAGCTTCTTCACTAATTTGCATCAACCTTGTCTTGACTTGTTTATCTTTTGTTTCCTTTTGGACTTCCAAAAATTTGTCTTCACCAATTTGCATATCAATCAATAGTTCATGCTTATAAACCTGCAATATTGTAGTATAGAGGCTTGTGTATTTGCAGAAAGTATTTTTAAATTGCAGAACAAAATTTTCACTCTTCTGCAATATTGCAGATCACTGAAAAAAAGTATTTCGACCACTGTTATTATTGTATGTTACACTGTATTGTTGTTACTGTGCATTACTTTGATATGTATTGATTATGTATTTTTATTGTCCCAGAACTACCTGAAAAACAGGTCAGATGACCTCAGTATAAACTTCTGGTAAAATAAATACAGTAAATACAAATAATAACCTGTTGCTCTGCCTGCTGTTGCAGCTTGACTCGTCCGGCGACTTTGAGACGGTGACGGTTACGGAGACGGGGAAGCAGTCGTACATCATCACGGGCCTGTCCCCGCAGACGGCGTACGAGGTCCAGCTCACCGCCTCCAACAGCCGCGGGGAGAGCGCCAAGGCCACCCTGCAGTTCAGGACCGGAGCACGTGAGGGCGCTTCTCTTATTCCCCAAGCTGATGTTTCGTTTCCCAGTAGTTTGATGTGTTAGACCTAGGAAAAAGAAGTTACGTTTCCTGTATTAAAAAGAGGTGTAGAATAGATTTAACTCAACATCATAATCAAAAAACAATAAGAGCTAGCGCAAGTCTTTGCTGTAGCGTTACAATCAGTTTTTTTTTCTTAAATGATACAGCAGTCTTATGTATAAGTCATTTCATACCCAGACTTTTTCTTGGTAAAGAACAAAAACGCTGTTTTGTTTGATTGACTTTGTTGCACTGTTACATACATTACATACCTTGACCATACATTCAAGCTAGCTAGTGGGAACAGATGACTTTTGAGTATCTTCCAATTCCTTTCCCAAAATAATGGCTTTGGACATTTTCTTACTGCAATTCTAAGATGAATGCGACTGCTTAGGATTTTAGATCTCGCCTGTTGGTCCTGTTTTGTACTTTGCAAGTATCAGCAGCTTGCTTGGCTGGAAGTGTTTGAGTCTGATTTATTTAGTTTTAGTGCCATCCTGTGTTTGTCTTTATTATTTTTGCTTTGTAAAGTTTGTTTCTCTGGTCTTGGGAGGCTAGCACACAGACAAGTGCATTCTGTTAATATTTTAACAGCCTTTTTCCGTTAATTTGTGATTGTAGCAAGAGAGGTAAATTTCATAAATTCGTAGAAATTAAGGAATAAGATTGAGGAATAAGCTATATTTTTGGCATAAAGCTTTATATTAAATATTGAGGAAGGTATATATTTTTGACTGTCCATTGTCCAAGTTGTTCACCAAAAATTTGATTACCAGCAAAATCTTAAGTCAAAGTAAACTAAATTATGTACTTCTAAAACTACATTTTACCTGAAAATAGATGGTAAAAAAAAACCCACAAATCATACCTTAAAAAACTGTGGTCTTTGTGCTGTTAAGTTAAAAGATTTGAAGATACTTACATGATAATTAAGAATCGGCTACAACCTCAACATGTTCAAATGGACATTTCAACAAAATTATTCTGGGTGGCCTCTATTTGGGATTCGCACTTGCTCTGGGTGAATTATGATTTGTTTATGAAGGTGTCAGCACCATTCTTTGGATTAAGGTTTTCTTTTCCTGGCTTGATTTTTGTTTTTCTGTTTTCTTCTTTCCAGCCAAAGCAACAGACCCACCAGGTAAGGGGCAAAACAAATTTCACTGCTAAGTTAAACATCATTCTCCCTAGTTTTTATCCATTTCCAGTGATACAACAGCAAAATGTAATTTTGGATGATGGATTAGGCCACACCAATTTAATTTCTTTGTTAACGGATTCGCCGCTTCATTTTTTTCTGATTTGCAAATAACAATAAAAATTCAGAATCAACTGCAAAATGCTCATATTTTGCCCTGAACAGTTGAAAACAGTCCTTTTCATCCTACTTGTTACAGTTATTCCATCTTTCAATCCAGTGGTATCATTAAAAGTTCAAAATTCATTGCTGAAATTTTGAACCAGCCTGGTGTGTTGACTTTATGGCTCCTATCGTACCATTTTGGGCCATAATAGGATGCCTAGGCCTGTTTTTATTTTTATTATTTTTTCGCCTGCCCGCTCCATTATTTTTCTTTAAAAATCCGTTAACCAAGAAATTAAATTGGTGTGGCCTTATCTTACAAAAAGCTAAATTGGATCAGTCTAAACATTGCCACATCCAAGATTCAAAACATTTAATTCTTACCCTTATCTAAACACATAACAAATGCATGAATGATGCGCATGTAGTGCTAATGCTAAAAAATATAGTTTCAAAATGCAGCTGATGCATAATATGAAAACTGTGTGAAAAATCCCACAGGTGGAGTTATATATATAATGTTCTGCCAATGTGCTTGTCCTGACATAGCTGCATGCTGCTGTTGAACTGTCCTGTTCCTGCCCCACCTACTGTTGGACTTTTGACTGTTGTTGCCCTCCCTTCCCCAGCCATACATGTACCTACAAAGTGTACACGCTATGTGTTACGTACAGAAAACTTAAGCTAACCTTACATCAATCGTATTCTAATGGCCAAATCACCAGCTCAGTTTGGTTCCGGCCATATCTGCTATTGAACTGTGTCTCCTCATCCTCCAGGCATCATCAGCGAGCGAGCGAGCCCGGGCGGGCTGGGTACCGGAGGGGTCGTGGCCGTCGTGATTGTGGTGCTCATCATCTTGCTGATCGTCATTGACGTGGCGTGCTACTTCACGCAGCAGTGCGGCCTCACCATGTTCGTCTGCGTCAATCTCTGCGGCAAGGCTCCACCGGGGGGAAAGGCCGCAGACGCAGAGGAGGGCACAGCCACATACAAGTGAGTTTACTAGTAGGCATACTACTGTGTGTGCATACATACATACATGCATGCACAGCCACATACTGTGCACCTCTATGCCAGTAGTCACTGCTAGTTTTCCTTCCTAGTCTCAAACCATGTACAAGGCTGCAGCCACCTACAAGTGATCGTCTGGTAAAATAAGATCCTCATCCTCACAAAAAACAGGGCACAGCCACCTACAAGTGAGTACAGTCAGCTATCTTTCACACATACTCACCGTATGTAAGTGGTAGTCTGTCAGCTTTTCTTTTGGTCTCACACCATGTACCAGGCCACCGATGCAGAGGAAGGCACAGCTACATACTGTAGTCTCACCCCTTTCATTCAGTTCTCACACATCCTCACAAAAAAGTAGGGCACCACCGCGTACAAGTGAGTTTACCAGAAGTTACAGTCAGCTTTCCTTTTGGTCTTGCACCATGTACAAGACAGCTGATGCAGAGGAGGACACAGCCACCTACAAGTGAGTACAGTCAGCTAGCTTTTCACACATACTCATTGTACAAGTAAGTAGTCTCAGTCAGCTTTCCTTTTCATTTCAAACCATGTACCAGGCCACCAACGCAGAGGAGGGCACCGCCACATACAGTCTATAAAAACTTCCTGCCTGGCCCCAAACTCGGAATTGTGACCTCAGCAGAACAAATATGAATGGAAGTTGTCATCTGAAGTTGTGTGTTTTTTGTCCCAGAAAGAGGAATTGCAGGATGATGAGGTGATCGAGTCGCTGCCCCAGACTAGAACTTTACAAATACCTGTATGAATGGTGTACGTAGTACAGTACTAAGACATGTGTTCCCTACTATGACATTATCATGAGTTAGGTTTGTGAGTTGCAGTTGTTTGTTTTTCCCCAGGAAAGAGGAATTGCAGGATGATGAGGTGATCGAGTCGCTGAAGATTGAGAAGGATGGAGCAGACAAACCCCTGATGGACAAACCGCCCAGCCAGACCAGTCTGTACGTACAGCATGAACCTTACCTTTATAAACCGCCCAGCCAGACCAGTCTGTACGTACAGCATAAACCTTACCTTTATAAACCGCCCAGCCAGACCAGTCTGTACGTACAGCATGAACCTTACCTTTATAAACCGCCCAGCCAGACCAGTCTGTACGTACAGCATGAATCTTACCTTAACCGCCCAGCCAGACCAGCCTGTACGTACAGCATGAATCTTACCTTTATAAACCGCCCAGCCAGACCAGTCTGTACGTACAGCATGAATCTTACCTTTATAAACCGCCCACCCAGACCAGTCTGTACGTACAGCATAAACCTTACCTTTATAAACCGCCCAGCCAGACCAGTCTGTACGTACAGGATATCTTTATTTTATTTTATTCACATAGATTTGTGAGCATTGGACAGAAAGCACACAATGTGCTTATAAGGTTCCTTTGCTCATAAAAAAACATAAAAACAGGGTGGGGTTACTAATACAAAATGTACAGTAGACACAAAACGAAAGCTTACAAGACCTGTTTTTATGACCAGGACTCTGCATGTGTGTTGTGCATAATGTCTTCCTATTGTGTGTAAAGCAGCGCCTTGCATGAAAGCTGTCCGGTTTTCACTTGACACGTAAACCTGGACCTCCTGTGTCTGTGTGCGCCTGGCTTTTCCATTTCCCTTGGTACAATGTCCGTTGATGACATGAAAACTTGCATGCTGAAGGAACTACAGACTGCTCGATCAGACCCACTGTGTTTCTCTGTTACCGTCATTCTGATATCTGTTCTGACTTCTCTCCGCTCACCCCGTTCCTGCACCGCTGCGGTGTGTCTCGTTCCTCTGTAGGAAGGACAAGGAAGACCAGCCGCTGACGGAGGCGGAGGCCCCCCCTCCCACCGGCGATAACCCCTCGCAGGACCTGGGGGATCCCGAGGGGGGCACCCAGAACCCCGGGGGCGAGGAGGAGGGAAACGATAACCCCGGGGCGGAGGGGAATAACCCCCTGGGGGGTGGGGAGAACCCCGGCACTGCCCCCGAGAGTTCTGTAGCACCGCCCGCCGCGCCCGAGAACTCTGAAGCTCCCTCCGCTCCCGAACCTGAACCTTCTCCTGCTCCTGAACAAGAGTATGTCCTGCTCCTCTCTCTCTCTAAACTGTCCTCTTTTCCTTACACGCCACTGCTCTGTTTCAGTTCTCATGTTTTCTGTACCTTCTGTACCTGTACTTCTGTGTTTGCTTCTGCTCCTGAACAAGAGTATGTCCTGCTCCTCTCTCTCTCTCTAAACTGTCTTCTCAACTTCTGTCCTTTTCAGGAACTTTTCTGTGCCTTGTTTCATCAGTTTTCTGTATTTTCAATCTTTGAATCTCCATTTGTCTCCTGTTTTTCTCCCGGCAGTACTTCTGTGTTTACTTCTCCTGCTCCTGAATATGTCCTGTCCTGAGTATGTCCTGCCTGTCTCTCAACTGTCTGTGTTCTTCAGAAACTCCAATACCCTCTTTTTCTTACGCTCCTCTATTCTGTTACACTTCTCAGTTTTTCTGTACCTTCACTTGTCTTCTGTTTTCTATTCTGTTTTCCTATAGTACTGTAAATTCCCGAAGCAAAACGTATTATGTCCTGCTTGTCTCTCAACTTCTGTCCTCTTCAGGAACTTTTCTGTGCCATGTTTCATCAGTTTTCTGTATTTTCAATCTTCCTTTGTCTCTGTTTTTCTCCCGAACAAGAATATGTCCTGCTGGTCTCTCTCTAAACTGTCTTCTGTCTGTGTTCTTCAGGAACCTCTGTGTCGTGTGTCTCCACTGTTGAATATTTCTGTATTTTCAATCTTTCAATTTTCATTTAAAACAGCAATGCGGAAATGTCATTATCAGAGACCTGCGCCATCCCCTCTTTTCCTTACATGCCACTCTTCTTTTTCTGTTTCAGTTCTCAGAGTTTCCGTACTTTGTTTGTCCCCTATGTTACAATACTACTCAGCATTTCTTTTGTTTTACAGGGCATTTTCTTTCAATACCTTTTCTGTCACTGCATTGTCAGACATCCCCTTTTTTCCTTCACTCCTCAATTCTGTTTCAGTTCTCAGTTTTTCTGTACCTTCACGTGTCTCTTCTGTTTTCCTGCAGAATTTCTCCATGTTTCTCTTGTTTTACAGGGCATCATTCACTACCTTTTTCTGTAATGTACATATATGTATGTCCGGCATGACTGATTTTCTAGCCTCGGTAAACCCTCTCTGGGGTTTTATTCCAAACAGGTGCAATCTGTACTTCCTTTCCTCTGAAAGCTTTGAGCATGCAGAGACCACGTACCTACTTTCCCAAACTGACTCCAACAGTAATGCAATTATTGTGAAGTAACCATTATTTTAATAGTTATAGAGTTCGAACTTGTTCCAACACAAAGAAGAAACTCACCATAAATTTTCGGCTGATCCTGTCAACCTTCGTCAGATGTGTGATGCAATCGCTGATCACTTTCCGGAAGTTCGAACTCTATAACTATGGATTCAACCAACAGAGATGAGCTTTCATTCAAATAACCGTTTTTTTTGTTCTTCACTTTAGGACAAAAGAAGTCAATCCAGAGGAGGTAAAGCTACAAGAGAGCACAGGAGACGAAAAGGAGGCACTAGCCTGATGATGCCCTCCTCATATTCCAGACAGTCACTCTGCACTACACTCACATCCCACTACAAGACTTACGGCTACATCATACAGTAGAGTGTTAACGTTGCATTCCAGGTGAACTATAGATACATGTATAGTATGGTAGGTGGGGCACATAGCTGCCCATTGTTTAACTGTTGCTTTCAAACACTGAAACTTGCTGCCAAGTCCATTCTATACAGTACTGAGAGAATTCTACATAAATAGGGATAGTTGTGAATGGACCATGTATGTGTCTGATGAAGTAAATATCAGCAATCCTATGTTGGGAACAGTTTTAACAAAGACGTTCTGTTGTTTTTCTCTTTGTTCATTCCATCATAATCAGTCCTCAAATCACTGTGGCAAAGTTATCATTGAAGTAAGAAGTCACAGAGGACGCGCCGTAGCTTTGTGTTGTTGTAAAAAGAAAGAAACAAATCAGACGAGAACAATTTGGAATCGCACACTTGATGTAAAAATCGGCAAAATTCTAAAAGTTGTCATGATAAGCATTTTTTTTCCACGAGGCAAATATTGAAACATTGTGAAGGAAGTCAAAATATCATAGATGTAAGACTCAGACCCCAGAATACGTTAGCTGGGGCTACAGTATACTTCTCAGTTCAAAGTTTTTACTAGTTTTAGCTAGAGACGTTTTGTGAAACAAGGTATCCAAGAGGAAGGTTATATTTCCAGTAGACAGGCATGAATGGAGCAAATACGAGTCGTTGTGACCTACCGATACTTAAAACTAGCCTCTACCAGACTTTGGGAGGCGGCTGGAAAGAGAAATCAGCCAAATAGAGAGATAACATGGCAAGGGAGGTCAGGTCTGCAGGAAAGTACAGTTTGCCGCTCCCTCGGCACGCTATCTCTCTCTATTTGGCCGGTTTCTACTCTTTCCAGGTGCCTCCCGAAGCCTGGTAGCGGCTAACTTAAAACCACTGCAAGTGTGACCAGAGACAAGTTTTTACAGATCCTATGGATCGCTTGTCGCCGTCACATGCAAAAAAAAACCTGCAACTCCACCGATATCAAACTGTGATCAGTACAACAGGAGGTACTTTCCATTGGCTCCAATTAGGACCATGTAGGCCTCTCTTAATCAAGATCTATCTCCACTGTCAGCTGGAACTATTGATCTGTGAAACACTTTTCTGCACTAATAGTCAGACCAGCAGGCCGGTGTGCAAATTGCTGTAGATCTTGCCAGCTATCATGAAAGTTCATCTGTGTTGGTAGTTACATGTTTAGAGTTGAAACTTTTCATCCAACACAAAGAAGTTCTCTCACCTAGAGCTTTTCGACCAGTCACTCCGGTCTTCCTCAGTAGACTGACCCAGTCAGGCTTGTCACGTGGCTTCTTTGAAGTGTGACGTGAACACTGGGTCCACAACTTTGACTACAGCACAACATTGGAGGGTGCATCCCTCTCCCAAATGAAGTCAGGTACCCAGGCCATTTAACACCTGGTTGGAGTGAGGAAAGCTGTGTAAAATGCCTTTCGCAAGGACACAGCGTCTAGCCAGGAATGCCAGGGATCGAAAGTGTGCTCACCTTGCACATGCGTGCGGCAGGAATGGTGCTGAATGTTCCCAGCAGGTTGGCTTTCACGCCGGGCGGCGGCTCAAACACAAACACTCGCCCGGCTCTCAGCAGATTCACCGGCACCTGGGGGGGGAAAGACAACACAAAACTTAAAACCAGCATCTGGAACACAATATTATCAACACCTTCACAAGCTTTCACTGGGTCAGTCTACTGAGGAAGACCAGAGTGACTGGTCGAAAGCTCTAAGGTGAGAGAACTTTTTGTGTTGGATAAAAAGCTTTAACTCTAAAACATCTTTCCAGCTGTTGCAATAGAGGACTGGAATCGTGCAATGCAGCCGTAGCAAGGGGGGGATGAATTACGAAGCTTTTGGGTGAAAAAAATCATCAGTATGCAAACTAAGGAAGCTGCAGCTTGTGCAAAGTGATAGGATGTTGTAGAATCGAGGGGAGAGATGTGCATTGTTCCTGTATCAGGGTCAGCTCTACAGTACCAGTATTGTTCGCTTGTAGATTGATTTGGTTCCTCTGTACCATACCAGTAGCTGTGTCCTGGATACATGATATATTAAGGATGAAGTGTTGGTGGCATGGTGCAAAACTGTTTCCTCTCGGTGCAAAACTGTTTCTGCTCCCCACGTGTGCGTGCATTACTGAGGTCCATGCTGGTTGCTATTTTTACTCAAGCTTTCCAAGCTGTTTTAACCTGCTGCTGTACTTTTATTTGAATCACGGCCTGAATTTTTGCTTCCTGTTGCAAGCTTGTACTTAATTTCTTAAAATTTCTTCAAGTCGACTTGTGTTGCTTGACTGTCCATGTTGACAGTCCTGGACTGTCCATGTTGACAGCAAAATGATAGCTGTAACGTTACAAAATTAAACCTTAACACAAGCATGGCTATACTTCTCGTGATGCACACATGCTGGGATGGGGGCATAGACACATCTGCATGCTAACTTCAACCATATTGTTACACATTTTCTGAAGAAAACAAAAAATATACCTACATGCTAACTTTGACAATAATGTTACACATTTACAGAAAAATATACATGCTAACTTCAGTCATATTGTTACACACATTTTCTGAGGAAAACAAAACAAAAAGAGCAAATTTAGTCTGCCTAGAACCTTTACCGCTGGCCGCTAGGGAGTGCGCTAGTCTCCTGACTAGCACCGACTAGCGCTAATCTCCAGACTAGCAGAGTCAGCGTTTGTAGATGTATCTTGTGGTGTGGTTTCTTCTCTGTGACTCTCCTGTTGATAATGAGTGCTGTGAGGTCTGTTGGTGCTGGTACATCAGTGGTAGAAATACTTCTTTTTTTTAAAGGTGTTCTGCAATATTGCAGGATGTCAAAATTTTGTTCTGCAATTCGGAAACACTTTCTGCAAATACACACTTAAAAGTCTGGATCTAAACCCTTGGCATATACAAAATTGCATGTCGGCAACAATTTTACATGCAATTATTTGAAAAATACATGCAAAATTAGTTGTACAATGTATATTATAGAGTCAGTCGTTACCACAAAAGCTCCATCGAACCCCAAGCCTGATTTTCTCAGTCTGCAAAATTGCAGGTTGCTTAATTTTTCTTCTGCAATATTGAAAATGTCTGGAAAATACAGACTGCAGATGGGTATTTCTAACACTGTACATCCATGCCTGTCTTGCCCAGGAGCAGACAACGGTCACGGGTACTGTTGTGTTGCAGATGTCTCATCCCCTTTTTATATCGATGCTTGCCATTTGGTACTAGTTTCCACCAGATTTTCCTAAGGGGTTAGGGTAGTAGAGTTCGGTAAAATTAGGGTCTGACTGGGCAAGGGAGTTGGTCCACCGTTGGGGTTTCTTTTCCCCTTGGCTAAACTCCTAGTCTCCACCAGACTTCTTTTGCAGGCTGAGTAAGTCATAGAAATCGGCCTAAAAAGGGCATATGATAGGTCCACGGCCAAGCGGACCCTCAACGGCCAGGAAACTCCTTTGGCCAATTATGTGCCCTTTTTAGGCCAATTTCTACGATTTTATTCAGCCTGCAAAAGAAGTCTGGTGGAGACTACTAAACTCCCCTGGCCAAGTATTCTTGGTCCCTATTTGTCTAAATTTTACTGTTTAAACCCCACAGTGTTAATCTGGTGCAGACTATAATTTAGTACTGTGTTTTTTTCTCTCTTTAGCGAGCACTTATTTGTTGCATTTTATGAGAAGAGTGGATCTCAGTTTTTCAGTGCCAATGTTTACTGTGCAGAAAGACTATGTTACATGATGGTTGTACCATAAACTGGATTTATACTTTCTTGTGCAGTTCACCACTTCTTACGCTGAGACTATTGAACTACTGTAGCACAGGAGTCAGGGGACATGTTTGAACTGTAATAGCTCGTTGTTATATGTATATTTGGAGTAGTCTATTTTTGTTATTGTTTGTTATTACCATGGTTACTCATGCACTCTTTTATTCAATGATTGTATCATTGTGTTATTAAATGAAGAATAAAAATTTCCTGTTGAAGTAGTAGTATCGATAGTAGTACATTTAATGTGTGCACAAACGTGTATCTAGAGCACAGTGTTACTCTAAACTTGGATAGTCAAATTAAATTCACTTTCTAGAGTTGTGCGAGTCTTTTTTCAGACCAAAGCGGCCTTTTTGAGTATTTTTATTAAAGACTGTATCTAGATCGATGTTTGTTGTTTGGAAATAAAGTGTGACATGTAGGACTGGTTTGGACCACCAACGCATTTTCCTTTTTATTTTCTGGTTGATTTAGATTTAATTAAAGGCATCTGGTGCAATTTCAGGGTGGCAAAACTGGATTTTCAAAGTCAATTTTCTTTAGCATGTTTTGGGGCTATTTCAAATGCTCATGTGTGAAATGACGACAATGTGCTAAGAAATGGCAGTAAATGTCATTATCAGACACCTTTCCTCATCCAGAATACTTTTTGTTTTGCCGCCCAGAAATTACATTGGATGCCTGCCTGATTTAAACATTGGACTTGACACTCAACATCAGTGCCTCATAAGTATCAAAAACATCTCCAAGCAGATCCTACAGCGGCACGGCTGTAGCCATTGGTCTTAGGAGCAACCATTAGCCACAAGATTAAGATTTATTGTAATCGACTCGCATGTTACATACAGCGCTGCATACCATGAAATCTTAATTATTCCATTAAAATTGTACATAATAGCATCATATAGATCAACTTAAGCAAAGTTAACAACATATTAAAAGCAGTTAAAACAAGTAGGCACATATAATACAAGAAGGTAAAAACATACCACTTCCACTATGGTAAAGAAAGTCTGTGAATCATTCTTCAAATATGCCCCGCAAACCGGGCTAGTGCGAGGAGTTCCGCATTGTTTTCCTGTCAAGGGGAACGCAAACAGACCGATACTAGGGCACACCTAAGCTGTTTGTGTGTCCTTGCGGACATATATAGTTAACAGGTGATCTCCAAGCAGGTGTAAGGATCTGGAAAACATAGATACTAAATGTTGTGAAACACCAAGACTGAGTTGGATCCTTATCTTTACTTGGAGATAATTTTTTTCTTGGCCACACATTTTCTTTAATTTCCAGATAGTTTCTAAAAAAAGGATCTGACCATTAAAATTTACAAAGATTTTAGAAAAAAAAGGTTTATAAGTGAAAGACAATGATTTATAAAACGTATTGAAAAACAGAAATATAAGTGCATGTGCGATTCCGCCTTCGAATGGTACCCTAAGACCGCCACATAAAGAGAAAAACGGTGTTATCGAATAAAGTCTTGCTTGTACATGTACCTGGATATCTGGTGTACATGCTTCGAGGGGCCCTATTTGAAATACCTAAGGCCACGTTGATTTGATTATATGGATGACATCAACGCGCGCATGAATTTTCGTCCGTAAAAAAAAAAAAGCTTTTGACCATACTGTAAATTGTACAAAATTAAATGAACGATATATATATATATATATATATATGTCGTATGTTGCAAAAAAGTATTGGAAAAACGATACTAATGTCATAGAATGCCGAAATCAATTCAGGAAAAGAAGAAAATGTGAAGAAATGAAAATAAAGAGCGTACTATTATTCGCCCTACCATACTCTGTGTGTTTAGTCATCTGTTCAACCTTTAGGACCTTTAGATTTCATGATCGATGATGACGATTTTTTATCGGTTTTGGGGTTCCTATAGGATGTTATCCATACAATCAAATCAACATGACCTAATGAATGGGATAGTGAAATATTTCGAGGCAAGCTACAAAACATGAAATATCAATGCATAAACTTTCGAACACAGTATATAAAGGGGTGAATATGTGCATCTATTATAGGTTGTTTGTTGCGCAATGTCGTCATTGTTCCACTAGCGTTGGTTGTTGCAGTTCGGGCAAGAGTCGCGAGAGGAAGTTCTGTGACAGGGAATACCATCCTCAAGCAATGCCATGGATATTGTTTTTAAAAGCAAAATGTGCTTCACCGTCTGGTGGCTAAGGGTTTACTGCTAGCCTGACTTGCTTTGTAGGTACTGAAAGCATTTGCTGATCAGAAAAGGCAACATCTACATGTATCAGACTGTGATATCGAAAATCAAGCCAATGTCAAAGACAGGTGAGTTTTCGCGCAGAGAACTATGGGATTGGTTGCGTGTAAGCCCGTTACCAAGTGAACGGTAACGGGAGCATGGTAAACCAAAAGGAAACGTTTGTACTGGAGCTCCAGGTATCAATTCTAAATCGGGAAAATTCGTCGGTACGCCCCTCCTTCTGTTGCCGAACGTTTGCGGTTCTACAGTGTGTAAGCTTGAGACACCAACATGACTAACATTATTGCCTAATTCCCTTGTAGTAAGGCCGCAGGGCCGCTAGACGTAAACATTGCCCATTAATTTAGCTTCGATTTTCCAAGGATAAAGACAATGACAAGACATGGTGTGTTTTATATATATGGAAAGTATGATAGACACATTGTATGTGTGTGGTGAAATCTTTACACATGGCGCACTGTAGGATGAGTAATTTGACAGATCTGAAAGACACGTTCCCTTGTCAACCTCTACGAAAGGTGTAAAATTCAAACAAACATAATTTTAAATCGCCAGCGGTTTGAGCTATAAACTTCGACACACTTACGTGTTCCGAGTTTGGTTATTTTTACAGAAAAACTTTATTGCACGACAATTGTACAATTGTATGGCAAATAGGTAACAATAAGTAGCATAGTAAAATACGGATAGGTAACGCGTTATAGAATATTTAAACTTAACAACTTATATATAGAAAAGAAATAATCAAAAGTTAGCTTAGGCTTTACAATCAGGGGGAGTTATCTATGGGTACATGTGACAGCAAATCAGTATTCTTTCTAATAACAAAACAGTCTTTTATGTATATTTAGGCCACACCAATTTAATTTGTTGGTTCTCGGATTCGCCTCTTCATTTTTTTCTTATTTGAAAAAAAAAAAGATTCTGGTTCTGAATCAACTCAAAAATGCTCATATTTTGCCCCCAACAGTTGAGGAAATTCCTTTTCTTCCTAGTTGTTACAGTTTTTTCCATCTATATCAATGCAGTGGTTTGATTAAAAGTTCAAAATTTATACTTTAAATTTTAACCCAGCCTTTTTTGTTGACTTCATGGCTCATATTGTAGCATTTAGGGCTATAATAGGATGCCTAGACCTATTTTTATTTTTATTTTTTTTTCGCCCTGTCGCTTCATATTTTTTCTGAAAAAATCAGAGAACCAACAAATTAAATTGGTGTGGCCTTACCTATTTTTACATATTTGTGTGGGATGTTGCATTTAAATATACATTATGTATAATCAAATCTATCTGTAGCAACAGGTCTATTGAAATCTGTCGTATTTGAAGTGAGAAATTTGAATAGCTTATCACGTAGGACATCATATCTAGAGCATTCCATAATAAAATGAAATTCATCTTCGATTTTCTGTGGGCAAAATGGGCAAAATCTTTGGTCAGGGGCTACATTGTAATATCTTCCTGTTTCTATATTCAATTTGTGACTGCTGATTCTTAGCTGTGTTATAGCTTTACGGATTTCAAAATTTTCTATATCATAAAGTATTTTTCTTGTTCATAACAACATAACATTTGTCAAGATATGCTAGTTTTGAATTGATGATGAAATGGTTTATTGAGGATAAAAACCCTAGCAGCCTAGGCTGAATTGTGGTTCTTTCACAATTCATTCATCTTAGACAGAATTCTTATCACATAGATTAAAAGTCAGAAATGTACGATCATTCAATATTAAAATCAATTGGTTACTACATTTTGAAACGTTTTACTTATAGATAAGCTATTTTATATACATGGAGTAAAGAGTCCTCAGGTAAGTTTACCAAACGGTGCCAGTATTTAATGAGTTGAATTTGGGCAGATATCATGATGGGAAAAGTTCCCAACTCTCCTCGTACACCGTCATTGGATGATTTTGAATGGACTCCTAATAGAAATTTTTGAAAGCGGATGTCAAGTAAATCGAATTCTGGTATGTCTAAAGAGAGGAGTGTATTTTCGACTGAAAAGTCATCTTTTTCTAATGTACACATGCATGCATATTTTAGAAACATATCTTCGTCTAAGCTTCTTTCAAAACATAAAGGCTTAGTCCATAACCAGTTTTACTTATTATGTGCATTCACCCATGCGTAACTAATAATAATAATCTTTAAAACTATGTCACGTTCAAGGTACAAGGTTCAAAACTATGCCGAACTTTGGAAGTTCGCTAAAAAGAGAATGCGCTGACTTAGGACCACTCCCGTTACGTCCCATAGTCACTTCACTATCTATCATATGTACTATCCAACTTCGGCTGACGACACGTACTATAGACATCGATGGGACCAAGACTACATAACTTGTAGTTAATAGCGAAAACAATCACATGTGAAGTATGTCCTTATCGAAAACCTTCTTCAAGCATGGCCATAGATAAATAGCGTTTAAAGTGTAAACCCCTAGGTATACAGCCACTTGACAACATCTCTATCTTTTTCCAGGTATATTGAGTAATTGAGGAAAGGATTCCACATAATCATGGCTGCGATAATGGAGAACCTGCTACCGGCCGTCACGGGAGAAAATCGCAAAGATGAGATTGTCATAGACACGCGGTTTGACAGGCTTATGAAGATGCTGACCGTCTGGCTGCCGTTGTTGGTATCTGGCACGCTGTTTCTGGGTGATTTCACCGGTAAGCACTGATAACCTTTTATAATTTTGATAATCAGCTATACCCTCAGGGGAATGCTCGTGTGGGTTTATTTGAAATCAGTACATTTTTGTACTTAAATCCCCTCTAGGTTAGATTGTATTGACATTAATTGTTATACTTACTAACTTGCCACATCGTATCTGTATCCATAATATCTAGATCTGTTATGAACCTATTGCAATAATGTTGTACAAAGAATACTAGTAAGCATATATGGTAATAACCAACTCAGGCCGGCTTGGCATGGTGTTAAAAAGTAATACTGGCCTAGGGCAGGTTATTTCAAAGGTTATCCTGGAAAACAAAACATGAAAGTCACAGTTTATGTACTTTGAACACAAAATACTGTCAGGTATCTAATAGAGTCAAATTGCTGTCTTCTCCTCCACAGGTGAACCTCAGAACGTCGTCTGTTACCCCCCATCAAACTTCACCATTCCTCAAGCAAACTACTTGAACAGCTTTTGTAAAGAAAGTCTGGTTTCAGAACAAATCACGTCCTCAATGTTTCCCTATTTTGTGCTTTTATTTGCACTACTGATGTACATACCCCATTTGTTGTGGAAATTAATGTTCGGCAAAGACCTTACTTCGCAGATTGCTAACATTATAGGGGAAATCGAGAACTCGTGGCAAAATACACACACGGTGTTTTCAATGCCGCAAAGTGAACTCATGCCTTTAGCAGGCGGCTGCATGCCCAGTTATTCTGCAACCATAGGGCTCATTGAATCTAGAAAGTGGGGTAATGTCCTAGTAACAAAAATTATAACTCTGCTCACCTTTGCCCTTGCTTGTCTTATGTACCTCATATGGTTTGACATAGTCGAACAAAAGAGTGATATCTTTGTCTGCAGTGCAAAACTCAGTGAAAATGGAACAAGGGAAGAAGAGTATCTAGAATCTGTATGTAAAGTCGTTGGAAAGCAATATTTGTATTATTATGTTTCAATTTTTCTTTCAATATCATTCTGCATTGGCGTGCTGTTGCCCATATTCTTTGTTTTGCATGTCAAGTTAACCCGGGTATATTTGCTGGATATCATTAACAGCCTGAAACTTGCAACAGAGCGAGTGTCAGGAGTAAAACTTAAACCATTACCAAACAAAATAGATGTAAGCCCATTCAGTGACTTTTTCATTATCAGTCGTCTCTGTGGGGAGAACAGACACGTTTCATCATGTTTGCACGAAGTTCTGAACATTCACACCGGCCCCACCCCTAATATGTGGGTAGATACAGCTGAATACGAGTCCACCTGCAGTGATGATGAGGTCTCAATCGAAAGAGAAACGAATGTGTAAAAGGACACCAGTCTGAGGTGTAGTCCCCTTAACAGTAATTATAAGTCGGACCCTTTCCTGCTTATCAGTTCTGATTGTATGTCTGATTCCTGCACGCCGCCTGTGTACATGATACATAATGACATAGTTATTTACTACTGTCTGTATTACTTTATTCAGTTTTCAATGCAGAGTTGCGGTGGTTTGATATAGACGATAGGGACAATGTTGAACTTTGGTCATTTCAGAATCCTGTTCCATTTTTCACAAGAACGTGTTTTTCTCATCTAACTTTAGTATCATAAGACAACTTTTTATTTTCTTGCCTTGTACGTTTGTGATATTTGTAGTTCTTCATAGATTTGAAGTGCTGTAAGTTGAACATCTAGATTCTAAGGGACCTAAGATTTTACATCGTCCACACTTTTCTTTTAAATGATTGTAATATAATTATTGTTTTGTTTGTTTGATTTCGGGGTGATAATAAAAGTTTGGTGTGGTTTCAGCTGTTTGATGTTTGTTTTGTCTTTTATTTATTTATTTATTTTATTTTCCGTCATCTTTACACAGGGTGGCCCATTAAGTGATTGCACTTCTTTTCAATGGGGCCCTGTTTTACAAACAAAACATAACAGTCACATACAAACAGTGACATAGGGATACAATAAATATTGATAATGGCAATAATAATAGAAAAACAGTAAGTAACCAATAACATTAATAGAAATTGTCCAGTCCAGTCATTGTCCAGTCCAAATTGTTTGTAAGGAAAGGTCAGAGGTCAGGTCAATTTTTACATCTTATTTTAAAAGTGGACATGGACGGGCAGACCCATTTGCCACTTGCACTCTTAATGTCAATGCAACTGTAACTTTCTTGTCGAATTTGGCATCGGGAAATGAGGTCTCAACCACAGTATAGTCTTGTCAAGACATGTACCGTTATATAAGCAAATCAAAAATACAATTACCAACCTTGCCTAACTGAATTGACTAACAATTGATGTAAACACTTCTTCAAAACTGATGCGCGCGTGCGAATAAAAAAAAAGTTTTGCAAAAAAAAAAAAGTTCTTTTCATTATGAAATCTACGTGGTCATGAGGGTTGAGCAAATGGCACAGAATATGGTTTGGCGAATAATCTAGTCTTCAAGTTAATTTCTTTACAATTTCGTCTTTTTTCGTTTGATTTTGGCATTCTACGACATTGGTATAGTTTTTATTAATTTTTTTTGTAACTTATGGTATATTTTTGCTCATTTTGCAACTGTTTTGTACGATTTACAGTATGGTTGAAAACTTTTTTTTTTTTTTGGAAACGGCCGAAAATTCATGCGCGCGCGGATGTCATCCATATAATCAAATCAACATGGCCTAAAGTGTGACATGATGTAGGACTGGTTTGGACCACCAACGCATTTTCCTTTTTATTTTCTGGTTGATTTAGATTTAATTAAAGGCATCTGGTGCAATTTCAGGGCGACAAAACAGGATTTTCAATGTCAATTTTCTTGTTTTGGGGAACGGGTTATTTCGTGAAGTGTCAAATGACGACCAAGTGCTAAGAAATGGTAGTAAATGTCAATATGAGACACTTTCCTCATCCAGAATATGCCCTGAAATTGCATTGGATGCCTGCCTACATTACGTGAAATGTCTCTCATTTTAATAACTCGAAGCTCTTCACTCAAACTCAGCTCAAACTGAGTCACTCAGCCACGTTCGGGATTGTGTTCTTGCCGCAAAAGCAGCACCTACATCGGCTACATATAGCGGCGAGAAGCAGAACTCCAGTCAGAAGCTCTGAGGAAGGTGTCTGATAGACACCAAAATGCAAGCAAGGTACAGACATGATTGATTGAATAAAACAAAAACCCTATCTCCATCTTTACATGTGTAAGTTCTGATCCTTAATTATTTTGTTAATTTGATTCATTTTTTCATTGTGCTTGTTTATTATCCTTTTATTACTTCTTCATTGTTATTTATATTTCATTCAACAAACTGTAGAGATTGTAAAACATGAAGGGGAGGACTTTAAATAAGCCATTGCGGCTTTTCGTCCTGCCCTTGCACATTTATTTCTTTTGTATTATTTTGTATAATTTTTCATTATGTATGTATTTGCTAAATGAAAATAAACAAATAAATAAATCCTTGAGTCACCGAAGAACCCACACAAACTTGATTTGACAAAAGTTTGTTTTGTTTTCACCATCTCCAAATACTGTATGTCTTAAATTACGTTATCAGGCATCCATCCATCTGTATGAGAAGAACAGCACATCATTGATTCATGCTTTATTTTGCATATCTTTGCTTTAATTTCAACTTTTTTCATACAAAATTTCAGCCCCATCATTTGGAAGGGTTTTCATATCCTGCCGCTCTATCTTACTTACATCTCATCTTTTCACAACTGCTTAAAATCAGCAACATAAAGGAATGGAAGGAACAGAACATCGCTTGTCCTGTCGTACATTTGCATCTGACAGATTCACTTCAAGATTAAACGTGATATTGTCGACGTTCCCAATTAACAGACTTAACTAGTGTTATCATGTAACCTGTAGTATTGATGATGTGTAGTACATGTATCATCAGAATTAGCCGACGGCATTGGCAATGTTGGACGGTTCTTCTTTGAGACAAAGTTAAGTTTTTTTATGAGATTTCACTATCTGATATTGCTTCATTTGACATTATTTCAGCTCGGATGCAATGACATTAAAATGTTGCACATAACTAACTGAACATAAATATAGTACGAACATTAAGAGGTATCCTTTCATTATAATGTCTTTATCTTTGCTACTAGTGATGGTAACAGTTTATAATATGAGCTACGGCAGTGAAGGCAGGACGTTCACAGGGCTGGTTGCCAGGTTACACGGTTGGTTGCCAGGTTACATGGATCATTGCCAGGTAACCAGGCCAGTTGCCAGGTAACCAGGCTTGTTGCCAGGTAACCATGCTTGTTGCCAGGTAACCAGTCTGGTTGCCAGGTAACCATGCTTGTTGCCAGGTAACCATGCTTGTTGTCAGGTAACCAGGCTGGTTGCCAGGTAACCAGGCTTGTTGCCAGGTTACTTGAGGAGAGCGTTCACCACGGCCTGCACGTTGAGAGCCTTGAGGTCGGTGTAGGTCTGGCCGGTCCCCACGAACACCACGGGCTGGCCGGTCGTGTAGGTCATCGAGATGGACGCTCCCACCTGGGGACAACAGGGGGGGGGGTCATATACACAAGATAAAATACACTATGTAGTTATTTCAATTTTCTGTGTTCTTTATTCAGGGTAGCACTACTCTGGCTTAGCCATGCTTTACAGAGTGGCTCCCACCTGGGGACAACACGGGTGGGGTCATACACAAGATAAAACACACTTAAAAGTCAAAAACAAAGTAAGTGCATAATGTTAACCTTCAGATATGGTCTGCTCTGTTGATTCTTACTCAAACCCATTCATGTACACTCACTGTATATGGTGACAGGAGTATAAATCCCTCCTGCTATGAAATTGCAACATGATGTAACCCAACACTAGTTACCATGGTGACAGATGTCTGGTTTAGGTCATTGACCTTATTTGTTTGGAGAAGAAGAGAAAACAGCAAAAACAATATCTTTTCCTTCAGTAAACATGATAAAATATCATAGGTAACATTTGCAAAACAACTCGGTCCTGCCACATAATGCATCTGACCAACCTTGTCGTCATTGGTGTCGAACTTTGTGAGCAGGATGCCTAATAAACTGCTGCTCTGTTTATTCCTAATCGAATACATTCATATAATGGTGACCAGCCCAGCCCTCCAACTCTGTCCTGCCACTTGCTACATAATGTAACCCAACACCACAGGGTGTCTGCTACAGCACCTGTTACTACATAATGCATCTGACTGACCTTGTCGTCGATGGTGTCGAACTTAAAATTAAATCGGTGTGGCCTAAACGTAGATAAATAAGGAAAACTACCCCACCTTATCGTCGATGGTGTCGAACTTGGTGAGCAGGATACCGTCGATGAGTCTGGGGTTCTCCATGGAGCTGAAGTCTGCCAGCGCCTGGTTAAACTTGGTGAGCTGGTCCACAGAGTCGTTCCCTACCAGGGCCTCACCTACAAACAGCACCAGCTCAGGCTGGTTCACTTTGATCAGCTGTGGGAGGAACGACAGGTGTTACACAGGTGTTACACAGGTGTGGCACAGGTGTGGTACACAGGTGTGACACAGGTGTGGTGCAGGTGTGGCGCAGGTGTGGTACAGGTGTTACACAGGTGTGGTACAGGTGTTACACAGGTGTGGCACAGGTGTGGTACACAGGTGTGACACAGGTGTGGCGCAGGTGTGGTGCAGGGGTGACACGGGTGTAATGCAAGTGTGGCACAGGTGTGACACAGGTGTGGTATCTATCCAAGATAGTAGTTCCAACCCACCTTGGACAGAGCCCTCATGAGAGGTTCGTTGTCCTGCATGCGGCCGGCCGTGTCCACCAACACCACGTCTATGTGCTGCTCACGAGCTGAAATAGACAACGTGCAGTGTTAGGATCATCCAAGTATGTATGTCTGGTAAGCTGGCACATTATTTTTCAAAATGGTCATGCAACTATCTGGCTGTCCTGTTTCAAGTAAAATTTGAGTTTCAAATGGAGGTATTCACTACATGTTCACAGAGGCAGCAGACAAAAGAAAGCTCGCAAATTAGTTGTTAACAGCAATGATAAGTTAGCAATACAGAAGTGTCCACAAGAACTGCGAACATAAAAGTACCACGAAAAAAATCAGGAATTACAGTACCCATTTTTGTTAAAACAGAAGTGTGTAGCACATAAACCACCCACAAAAGTAGATGGCCTCAAACGCAATGCCTCCGGCATCCTTGCTACATGTATTTCCCTTACATAAACATTCAAAAATGTCTATTTGTCTCATTTACTACTAATATTTAGATGGAAAAAAAACACCCACCGAAGTTGATGGCCTCCATGGCGATGCCGGCCGCGTCCTTGCCGTATCCCTTCTCGTACAGCTGGACCATCTTCACACCGCCGTGGTTCTCAGGCGGGTGCAGCGCCGCCATGCGCCGGGCATGCGTCCGAAGCTGCTCCACCGCGCCGGCCCGGAACGTGTCGCACGCCGCGATCAGCACACGGAAACCGTTCTCCACCAACCAGAAACAGATCTGGGAGAACACAAGTCATACAAAATGTACCTGTGTGATGCTACACAGTCACCAAGCTGCAAGGTGAAACAACAGGAATTTCTATGACCCTGTTCATACCAGACTTATATTTAGCGGTTTCAACTGGTTTTTCAAAAACCGGTTTTTATTTAACCTGGTGTGAACACAAATTAACCGGTTTTTAGGGGTTTAAATCCGATTTTCAAAAACCACCTCGGGAGGTGTTAGTAGACACCGTTAACACCGCAGAACGTGATGGTGTAGGGGTGGTTCTGTGTGATGTTTGTTTGTTTGTTTGTTTGTTTGTCTTTACCTTGGCCAGGTTGGTGTACGGGCAGGTCTACATGCATGTGATGTTTGTTTGTTTGTTTGTTTGTTCGTTTGTCCTTACCTTGGCCAGGTTGGTGTACGGGCAGGTCTACATGCACGTGATGTTTGTTTGTTTGTTTGTTTGTTTGTTTGTTTGTTCGTTTGTCCTTACCTTGGCCAGATTAGTAGACTTGCCCACACCGTTAACCCCGCAGAAGGTGATGGTGTACGGGCGGTTCTGTGTGATGTTTGTTTGTTTGTTTGTTTGTTTGTCCTTACCTTGGCCAGGTTGGTAGACTTCCCCACACCGTTGACCCCACAGAATGTTATGGTGTAGGGGCGGTTCTGTGTGATGTTTGTTTGTTTGTTTGTTTGTCCTTACCTTGGCCAGGTTGGTAAACTTCCCCACCCCGTTGACACCACAGAATGTGATGGTGTAGTGGCGGTTCTGTGTGATGTTTGTTTGTTTGTTTGTTTGTTTGTTTGTCCTTACCTTGGCCAGGTTAGTAGACTTGCCCACACCGTTAACCCCGCAGAATGTGATGGTGTACGGGCGGTTCTGTGTGATGTTTGTTTGTTTGTTTGTTTGTTTGTTTGTTTGTTTGTTTGTTTGTTTGTCCTTACCTTGGCCAGGTTGGTAGACTTGCCCACCCCGTTAACCCCACAGAACGTGATGGTATACGGGCGGTTCTGGCTCTTGGCTTCCATCACGTCTCGCAGGATGTCGATTCGGCGTTTCGGGGTCAGAATCTGCACCAAGGAGTCTCGGATCGCCTGCCGGATGGTCGACGTCACGCCTACAAACACACAGGACGGAACAGGTTTCATTTCATTTTCATTTATCTTATTTATCTAGGGACTCCATAATCACTACTAAGGCTGAGCATTTTACACTGAAAATTTTTGCATTACTATCTGCTGAAAAAGACTTTCTTGCATATGGTTTTAAAAAAGCATACATATCCTCACTTACCACTGAAGGTACCCAGTACTCTCCCCTCCAGCTTGGTTGCTACTGAAGTACACAGCTGGTCGGCGATGTCAGCAGCTACGTTCTTACCTGGAGAGGGACATACAAACTAGTGCTTCAGTTTTCCCTTATCCTTGGCTACGTCTTTCACTACAGAGTTATAGGTACATGTACAATTATCATGTAAGTCCATCTGTGTTGGTAGTAATCATGGTACGATCGATGCTTAACTTTATTCCAACACAAAGGTACACAAGGACCACATTTTTAACCACCACTGTCGCCTTCATCATGATTTTGATCCTTGTACTCCTTTCAGTTGGAATAAAGTTCCGCATCATACTATAACTATTCTAGGTACATCATCAGAATCTACAATGAAACAGTTTTTTGTTGGCTTTTGGGACATACAAATTAGTGCTTCAATTTTTCCTATTCCTTGGCTAACACTTTCACACCAGAGTTCTACATGTAGCCTTGAATCCATCCGTGAACGCTGTGTCTCTGCTGCGTTCAGGTATGGATTCCAGGTTATTCTACATGTACGTATATCATCTATGTGGTAACAATTTTTTTGTTCCTCTATGCCAGAGACATTTCCCCAGTACTTTAATGGAATACTTACTAGTATCATTGTACAAGAATAGAAAATACACTGTACCAGCACTTGAAGTCTACAGAGACATGCATGTGTAGTATGACAGTTCATAAGAAAGCCTGTTGCCTTTCTTGTGCGCCAATGACACGCTGCCACCGCTGCCAACCAAGTACCATGAACAATGAACTCTAACTTGGACTTTGGACACCATATTTGTAGGATGACGTTAGGCTCGAATCTAATTTGTCTTCTTACTAGGAATGAGCCATCCTGTTTGTTTGTTTTGTGCAGTTTGAAGTCAAAGTTTTTTGAGACTGACGGACAGTAGTGGTAGTACATGTAGTAGTAGTATCCTTCCTTGTTGTATAAGTCTCTCCTTACCGATCAGGTGATCTCTCATCTTGTCCAGGACCGGAGCCATGGCCTCCGCAGTGATGGTCTTCTGCCCCACCAGACCTTTGAACATGTTGAACACCCCGAAACCACTGGAAAAAAACAACAAACATGAACAAATCATGGTACACAATATAACAGTTACATAACATACTTTATGTCATCTTTATGTTTACATTTGTATATGTTTTATGAGCAGCGGATTTACATAAGCACAACAAGTGCTTCCTATCCAATGCTCAAAAATCCATGTGAATAAAATAAAATAAATAACATCATGAAAGTTCATCTGTGTTGGTAGTTACATAACAGTTACTCAATTTTCAAAATCTCTCTAGTTGCTTGAGAGACAGTTTTCCTGTGTACCACATTTCCTGGATGTCTAACTTTCATCCTCAATCATGGGACAAAAAGACAGATTTTAGTACTGCATATTTTCAACAACTCTTTGTCAACACTAGCAAACTTTTGTTAACGTTTGTAGCCGTTGGGCCGCACAATTCTGTAATCACTACAGCAGGGGGCTAGTCCACTGGTAGTGGTGTGTGTTTAACTCCCAACTCCCATACACACAGGCCACTACAGCAGGGGACTAGTCCACTGGTAGTGGTGTGTGTTTAACTCCCAACTCCCATACACACAGGCCACTACAGCAGGGGGCTAGTCCACTGGTAGTGGTGTGTGTTTAACTCCCAACTCCCATACACACAGGCCACTACAGCAGGGGGCTAGTCCACTGGTAGTGGTGTGTGTTTAACTCCCATACTCTTTCTCAAATGCTGAGTGCTAATCAGAGAAATCAGTATGTACCATTTTTAAAGTCTTTGGTATGACTCGGGCCGGGGATCGAACTCACAACCTACCAGGCAAGCAAACCCACTAGGCCATTACACCGGGCACAGTTACTTACACACCAATGGAATATGTCAAACAAAAGCTAAGCCAAAAGAACGAGACACGATTCTTACCTGGACTTCTTACTGTGCTGCTGCTGAATCTCTTCTTCCTCCTCCTCCTCCTCTTCTTCATCATCATCATCATCATCGTACACATCTCCGACGCTCTTCAGCTCTCCACTCATGGACCCCACCCAGGCACGCTGACAGGAAAGTCACACACAACATCATCATCCTCAACATCACCATCATCATTATCATCACCATCATCATCATCATCATCATCATCATTGCAACTATCATCCTCATCACCATCATCATACACATTATCATCATACACATCACCATCTTCATTTTAATCAACATCATCATCACCATACAAAACATCATCCTCATCTTCATCATCATCCACATCATCATCATCACGATCATCATCATCCACATCATCACCATCCGCATACACATCATCATCACCATGCTCATCATCTTACACATCATCATCATGTCATCATCACCATCATCATAATACACATCTCCATCTGATAATTTGAATACGTTGAAGTCCTCACCTCAGCATCCCCCAGGTCCTCCTCCCCGGCCCCAGCCATGCTCCCGTTGCTCTCCTTGTCTCCGCTGAAGTCCAGGATCTTGGCGTCCTTGGAGGAGCCTCCGTTGGCCCACTTGGTCGGGGCTTTTCCCTTCTTCTTCTCCTTCTCAGGTTTGGGGGAGGCTCTGGGAATAACAAGTCAGGCATTAGTGCTGAAGACCTCGAGTCTTGGGAAGAAGTAAAAACTCTTAAACCTCAATATTCAACATTCGGCATAAAAGTAGCCTGGTTACTAAACCTACTATAGTTCCCGAGTCCTACAGCCTCTCCGCAAATATTTGCGGGGAGGCTTATAAAAGAGAG